GTTTCTCAAGCATCGTCTGATTTCCTAACCGGCGATGTTTGCCTCTGGTGATTTTCCAGGAGAGGGAAGCCTACAGCACACTCCGACTCAGCCAGTTCATCAACAACCATTCATTTGCGAAGTTCCTCTCTTGTTTTGAAGTCCCACTTGGCCCCTCATGAGCTCCACCATCTCTGGACAACCTCCCCGTACTTCCTTCAGATTTCCTCCGCTTCCACCGTCTTCCTCCGCTTCAGGTGGTCGTGTGCGGCGCCGGCCTCGCAGGCGCCGCCTCGGCGTGGCAGCTGCGGCGACGCGGCGGCGCAGCGGTTCGCGTGACGCTGGTGGAGCCGCGGGCGCCGCTGCAGGCGACGAGCCAGTGGCGAGGCAGATTTGAAGTGGCGAGGGGCAAGATGGCGAGAGCTATCAGGGTTCTTACTTCAAGTATATGTTCCATAACCAAGGTGTCCTCGACGCGATCTCAAGCTCAAGGGTGGGTGCTGGATGCTCTGCTGGGCTGGCTTTGTTGAGGGTGCTTCGCTGCTCGCCTCTTTTTCCAGCTCGCTCTCCTGCCCCCTTCATTGCCACCCATCCACGGTCTTCCCGTTTCTGGCAGCGTTGTGCCTTGGAATTGTTCTTGGATTTTTCCTAGTCCTAGGCATTTGGATTTTGTGGACTTGCCTACGGCCAGCCCTGTTTCCTTCGCCTACTGCTTGGGAGACAGACTCGTCCCCCTGCCAGGGGCTCCCCTCACGCTCGTCGCCTCCAAGCTTACTTGCATGAGTGATCAATTGGCACTACGTCAAGACCTTCAGGCCCTGACTTCAGCAATTGCAGAACTCACTCTGGTGACGCGGGCGCTGCTTTCGGAACGAGGAGGGCGAGTGTCTTCAGAATCCTATCCAGCAGGTTTGATCGCTCCTTCTTTGGCGAGCGCGTCAGATTGGGAATTGGTTCAGGACGGCACTTCTATTCCTGGCTCGCCTGCAGATTTTCTGAAGAGGCCTGTGGTGGTTCGGTTTGAAGAGGGCCCGCCAGACACTCCAGATTTTTGCATCCAGCTTGCTCGACGGCACCTATCTTCCTCAAAGGCTTCTGCCGGTGATCGTGCACGAGAAGCCTACAAGGCAGGCTTTTGGCCTCGTGCTTTCTGGACTTGCCACACCCCTTACTCATCGTCGTATCAGCCAGGTGTCAATACCTACACTCAGTGGGTCCTGAAGAAAGGTGAGGGATTCAACTTCGTTCGTGTCGGCACTCAGGCGGAATCCGACCGTCTCCAGGCGGCATTCTCGGACATCATCTTCGCGGAAAAGCTGCCAACACTTGCAGAGTTGCATATCTTTTGTGCTGGAGCTTCCATTCCGGTTCCACCGCTATGGCGCTCGACAGAGCGTCGGTGAGCTTTGCAGCTTCCAGTACAGATCCCTCCCTCTTTGGTCCTCCATTTGACTGAGGAGCTGTCGGAGAGTGGTGTGGAAATTCAAGCGCTTGCTATCCCTTTGGTTTCAAGAAGAAAAGGGATGATGTTAGCAGTGCCAATTGGCCTTTTGAAGGAGAGCCTTCTTTCTCTGTCGGGAGTGGTGGAGGAGGACGCTCTCATCGGCCCTTCACAGGTGTTTGAAGTTGATATGATTACAGAGGATGAATTCACAGGTGCAACAGTTGCTGCTGGCTTCAAAAGTGATGTCCAGGTAGTCGACTTCCCCAACGACATTTTGAACTACCTGAAGGAATACGATCCTGTGACTGACTCCACCGAGGATATCACAGGATTTCATGAAGCGCATCCTCAGGCCATCCCTTCATCGAGTGAACTGCTTGCTTTGGTTTTGAGTTGGGCTGAAAGTGAGGCCTTGTCACGTGTCCATTTTTACAGCGCTCGAGAAGAGCCGGTTGGAAAGACACCTCAAACTCCAAAGAAAGCTCCTGCAAAAAGACTTACCAATGCAGCTCTGGCGGAACAGGTCTCACAGTTGTCAGTACAGGTCTCTCTGCTCCTGGCCAGTCAGGCAAAAGCCAATACAGAGCCCGAACCGGCCCAGGTCAGGAGTACTACACCTGTCATTCCTGTACGAGAGGCAGGTGCCCTGGTCCCTACCGGACCCGTTCCCAAAATGCCTCCAGTGTCTCTGGGTCTTCAGACTCCAGGACCTCACTTGCCTCCAGCCAAGGCTTTACAGCAGCAAGCAGTGGCTTTGAATGCATTGGTGTCACATCTCATACAGGGAGGCGATTCACTGCACAGTGGAGGAGCAAGCTCGAGTACTGCGAGAGGCACTGTAAAAAGAGAGCGATTGCAGCAGGAGTTGGCGGCCCGCCAGTCCACCCTTTTCCTTGCGTTGCAACAGCAGATCTTCCGTCGGCTTCATCCTTCTGCTGTTCTTCCACGGACAGAGGAGGAAATCCAGAGGAGGAGTCCCTCCCTCTTGACTTACCTGGAGAGATATGGGGGCGTCAGAGGCCAGAGAGAAGCAGGCCTGATTATGTGGATTTTTGCACATGCTCTGGATGCTGCTGCCTCAGGAGACTTCTATGCTATAAAAGAGTACTTGGCATTGGGCATCATGGCTTTAGAGCAAAGTGCATTCGATGCGGGAGATTGGGGCCTAGCATATGTCCTTCCCTCATGGAAGATCCGCCTCAGATTCTCTTTCAGGATCGAATGCAGTCCATCACAGCAGCAGGACGTCCTTTTGCGCCTTTGATTCCACCTCAGCTGGCCTCGATAAATCTTGCCTACCTCAAGGATCGATGTCCTCCAAACCAGACGGCAGGAAACAAAAGGCAAGAAGAACCAGCCGAGTGGGTCGAAAGCGGAGGAGGATTCGCCAAGCCCAAAGAGGAAACCAAAGTTCCCGCGCAAGCCAAAAGGCGCAGGGGACAATCAGCAGCAGTGAACCAGATGAAAAACGATGAACTCAAGCCAAAGGCAATGACACCTTGGTCTGCATGTGGCCCTCAGAAGGCCCTGGATGCTTCTTTTATGAAGATGGTTGACAATGGTTTGGCCTCGTCTGGGCCCTCTGGCTCCCCTGACGGGTTGAGCGGGCATTGCAAAGATGACATCAGAAAACTTAGCTTCCCAATGTGGTGTTCCGACTATGGTGTTGCGAACTCGTACAGCCTTTGCTTCATTTTTGTCCTTCTCCATTCGTTTAGCTCGTAGTCCCATGTCGAGGATGAGATCTACACCAGCTTTGTTCCCTGTCCCAGTGCCTGTTGAAGGCTGTTTTGACAGGATGCCTGCAGGTATTTCGAGCACCAGGAGACGCTCCCTCAGCTTGTCTCGGGCTGTCCACGTGATGTGCGTGGCTTTGAACTTTTGGCATTCGGGGGGCGTCTTGTGCAAATTTGAACAACCTCCTCACCGGTTGCTCTACAGGAGGATCAGAGCTTTTATAAAGTCGGACGGCCTCAGCGGAGTTTTTGATACACTTCCTGTGGGTCGAAGGAATCCAGAGATCATTGCACGCTTGGGTGAGGTGACTCAGCTTTTGACCATGTTGGGTTGCTCTATGTCTCCTTACTCCAAAGTTTTTGCCGCTATGACGTTCCCAAGGACACGGGGCCTCAATCCACAACGCCTTTTCTTGACTGGCAGAGGGCACTGGGACATCACAGAGTTCTTAGGTGATGAACTGGTCATGGCCTATCGTGAGCCAGAATGTCTTCGAGTCCATCGTAAACCTGCGTCTTGGGAATTTCCACGTGTTAGGGACTCACAACAGACTGTCGGCGAACTTGCCCGCATTTGGGATCGGCAGGGCCTCCTCATGCTTCATCGTTCAAAGACTTCAAGTCGGAAGAGTTTTGAGCTGGTGAGGATCTTCAACTGCTACAAATCCCAGGACAAGGACCGCCAGATTGGCGACAGACGTGGCCGTAATGCTATTGAAGGCATTCTTCATGGACCTTCAGCCAACCTTCCTGCTGGCCAAGACCTTTGTGATTTGCTGGTAGATTTGAAGAGTCAAAGGCTGCACGTCTCCATTTCAGACAGGCGTGACTTTTATCACCAACTATGGGTCACAAAAGCACGGGCCCTTTCCAACACCTTGGGCCCCGGGCTGCCAGTTTCCCTTGTTGAGGACACCCAGGCCTATCGTCATTACCTTCTGGGTGACGCTCAAAGAAAGTATTCAAGAGAGAGACATGGTGACCGCCTTGACGTTGAAGGTGATCCCCGTCTCAGAGTTGATGACGAGCTCATTTGGGCCTCTTTCCGAAGTGTGCTACAGGGCGACCATGGTGGTGTCGAGATGGCTACAGATGCTCATACTCAGCTGCTCCAACAGTATGGCCTTCTGAGGGAAGCAGTTCAACTTGTTGCCAACAGGCCTTGTCGAAGTACATCAGCAGTCGAAGGGCTTGTCATTGACGACTTCTTCAGTGTCTCCGTGGACTCGAAGGAAGTTCCAGGTGAATCTTCAGAGTCGTTCAAGGCTTACCAGAAGGCCCAAGAAGCATATCAGGACTATGATTTGATCGGCTCCCCAGAAAAGGACGTTGTTGCTATGAACGAAGGCAAAGTCATTGGGGCCTACATCAACTGCAGTGATTCAGCGGTGAAGCAAGGAGTTTGTACGGTCGGCCCTCCAGCAGCAAAGCGGCTTACTCTGTCGATGCTCACTCTTACCCTTTGTGCTTTGCCGTATACGACCGTTTCTCTGCGCAGATGCGTTGTTGGTGCCTGGGTCTCTATGCTCCTTTATAGGAGGCCAATGAAGAGCTTGTTGAATGCCTCCTTTGCCCTGGTAGAGACTTGGAAGGATGCATCCGAGACCTCTCTTATACCTTTGCCACGCGAAGTTGCTCAGGAGTTGGTTATGGTTGCAGCTCTGGCTCCTCTCATGTTGAGTGACATTGCAGTGCCTTTCGACGAGAAGGTCTATGCTACAGATGCTTCTGAAAGTAGAGGAGCAATTTGTGAGACCACGCTGAAAAGTGACATTGCCCAGATCCTGTTCAAGACCTGTCGCACCAAAGGAGCTTATACTCGGCTGCAGGCTGATCAAAGCTCTCGCGGCCTGTCTCTTGAGAATGATGATGAGGACCACCATCTGGATCCTGAGGGTGTAGTGGTTGGTGCTCCCAGACCTTTGGCTTACAGTTTTGAGTTTTGGGAGATATATGCTGGCTCAAGTCGTATCTCAAAAGCTCTAAGTGCTCTTGGTGTGGTTGTTGGCCCTCCTTGGACATTTCAAGCTCCGAAGAGTATGACCTCTCTCATGTGCACGTGCTGTCTTGGATATTCCACCTTCTTGAATCAGGTCGGTTGCTAGCATTGGCGATTGAGCCGCCTTGTACCACATTCAGCATCATGAGGAGGCCAGCATTGACGAGCCGCCTATGTCCGTATGGGTTTGAACCTTTGGAGCCAAAGACAGCCCTGGGAAACATTCTTTTCCTACGTGGTTTACAACTGTTGGCAAAGGCTGCTCGTCATCGCATTGTTGGACTTTTGGAAAGGCCCTTTTCAGCATTGAGCAAATTCGTTCCACCTTATCAGAGGATGTTGGACAAGCCTGGTGTGACTGAAGTGAGGATGGATTCATGTCAGTATGGCTCCATCCACCAGAAGTCTTTTGCGATGTTATGCCTCAATCTGGACACAAGTTCTGTCGCTCGCAGGTGTGCTGGCAGTTGTGTGCATGTGCCCGTTCAAGGAGTCTATACGAAAGCCTCAGCAATCTATACTCCAGAGCTTGCTGCTGCGTTGGCATGGACTTTGGCTCATGGCATCCGCACTGTCAAGGCGCTACGCGCAGATGAAGCTGGCACAAAGGTTGCTGGCTTGGAGAATCAGTTGACCAACGAAGTCATGCTCGCAAGCAACTGGGAAGTTAGAAAGTCCTGGAAGTTCAAGAAGGAAGCTCACATTAACTGGAGCTAAAAGCTGTTGAAGCACTGATCGAAGACAGAGCTAAGCAAGGGCCCTCTCGCATTGTCAGCCTGGTCGACTCAAACGTTGCTCGTTGTGCTTTAGGGAAGGGACGTTCTGCGTCTAGAGCTTTGTCCACTGTTTTGAGGAGAACTGCTTCAACAATGGTGGCTTTTGGGCTGTATTTGGTGACACCGTTTTGCCCTACACGCTTGAATTGTGCAGATGACCCTACGCGGCTCATAGCTCTAAGGAACCGAGTTGAGGGTTTTGGCATTCAGGATTTTTCTGCTGAGGAACTTTGGAGGCTTGCTCTTCTCAGGACTACATGTCGTTGGGCATCAAATTGGCTTCGCCTGGTGTTGCTTTTGGGACGAGAAACACTGCCTGAGATTCAGCCCCAAGCAAATGTTAGAGTTCTTGCTCCAGATTTTGGCATACAATATGGAGTCGGTTTGTCCCTACTTCAGGTTTGAGCACCGCATCTTCGATTCTACGAAGGGCTACCCAGGCGAGGGTCCGTTCCATGGCAGTTCTTTTGGATTTCCACAAGGTTGCCTCGGCACACTTGGGCTTTGGATTTGGCTCATCACTGTCCTTCGTCTTGCTCGTCACTCTTTTGCCACTTCCCATCTTGGCCCTCGTTCTACTACCTCTTCTCTTGGCCGCCACTCTTCTTCTTCTCTCCGCTTTTCCCGCTTCCTCTTCCTTGGTGCGCTTCTGGGTTGCAGCCTAGATCGTAGCATCGCCATGGAACCTGGAACTGCAGCGGAAGCTGCTCGAGCTGCAGAGAGAAGCTTGGTGGATCTGCCTGCAGGAAGGCCATCGCTGGCGCTCACAAGTCGCTTGAGGGACCGCTACTGGTCCCAATTTGAGGCCTGGCTGTCAAATGAGAAGATTGACTTCGAGAGTCTGTTGCTGCAACATGTTGTTTACATTGATGATATCAATGCTGTTTTAGCTCAGTATGGTCGTGCACTGTATGCTGCCGGTAAACCCTACAACCAATTTGCAGAGACGATAAATACCTTGACTTCGAAAAGACCAGCCCTTAGACGACTCATGCAGGGAGCATGGGATGTTGCCTTTTCTTGGCTTCATGCTGAACCTGGTTCACATCACATTGCTATGCCTTTTCAAGTTTTGTTGGCTATGCTTGCAGTCAGTTTAAATTGGGGCTGGACAGCTTTCGCAGGGTGGTGTCTTGCTTTGGGTTGGGGAGCTCTTTGTCGAGCTGGGGAACTTTTTGCAGCGTGTCGTGCTGACCTCCTCCTTCCAAGAGATGTAAACTTCACTGTTGCTTTCGGGTTGTTGGCTATTCACGAACCTAAAGCCAGAAGAACAGGTGCTAAGCATCAATCAGCGAAGTTGGATGTGCCTGACCTGTTGGATGTTGTTGATTTTTGTTTTGGAAGCCTTCGTCCAGCTGCTCCTCTTTGGCCTTGGACGGGCCAGACTTTTAGGAACCGCTTTCGTGTGGTTTTGTCAGCTTTGAGACTTCCAACTCAGAAGATTGGGAACATGAAGACGCTTGACCCCGGCAGTTTGAGATCAGGAGGTGCCACGTGGCACCTCCAAATGACTGAAGATGGTGAATATACTCGAAGGAAAGGTCGGTGGCTATCCACCAAAATCATGGAAATTTACGTTCAAGAAACCGCTTCACTTCTTTACTTGAAACGTATTCCGGAAACTTCACGTATTTTCACTTTGGAAATGGCACGTATTTCCTTGGATCTTTCGTCAGGTTCAAAGATATGCCGTGTTGGGCCTTGCTCCTTCTGCATGGTGGGTACTCCTACACAAAGAAGTAGCGCTTGGATGAGATGGGCAGTACGGGAGCTGTCACGGTGGCTTGCAGTGGCAAATGCCACCCTGTGGATCTCAATAGAGTGGAGAAGGAAGAGCGTTGGATTGAGTGGTTATATATGTAGAAAAGGGTACTTGTGTGCGCTTTGGAGCCTGGGTGTAGGGGCCGCTGCAGGGCGCCTCTGCAGGGTGCTGGTGCCGCTGCAGGGTGCCGCTGCAGGGTGCCGCTCCAGGGTGCCGCTCCAGAGTGCTGCCACGAGATGTGCATGGCCGCGTGCACTTTAGAGGTACAGAAATCTTTTGCTATTTGGGGCCTATGCTGGCGTATTTTGGTTGTTTGGGATGACGAGATGAGGAGGTTGGTGCTTCGACAGGTTTTGACATCAAAGTCTTGTCTGTATGGAAGTCAGGTCTGGATACTTGGACATATTTGCATACAAATATGGACGCTATAAAGTGTCCGGCAGTACACAATGTGTGGAAATTGTAAAGCGGCCGGTTGTTGCATGCCTTATGTTAGACATAGACACTGGTTCCGTGGTAACTACAACAAGCTGCTGGCCTTTGCGTCGGCTTTGAATCTGCGCTCGTCGATCGAGCCTATCGAGTTGATGGTTTACTTTTCCTTTGGGGCTCTTTGATGTTCTCTGGGCTAAGATGACCAGACGGCCTTACATACTATACTACCTGTTTTACCCAGGCAACTTTTCACTTGTCAGGTTGCCTTGCTGAGGTTCGGCTTCGTTTTTTTTCCGGCCCCTTCATTTGGTTCCTCTTTCATTCATTTGAGTTTCATGTCCTGTTTGCCTTCATGTCCGGTCACCTCATTCCTTTCTTTTGCGTGTGCGCCGGCCTGGCCCTTAGCGTATACGTGCGCATTTACATTGAGACCAGGTTGCAGGTCGCCCAGGTCCAGGTCCTTATAGTGAGGTTTGGTTCACCGGTTGTCCCTGTGCATTTGGTTTCTCCTTCATCGCGGCCACGCACTTTCGTCTTGTTTTGTCCTTTTCATGTCTTCTCTTATTTTTTGTCCCTCTTGTGCTCCAACATCAGACGGCGGCAACCTAAACAATAATCATCCTCATTTAGTCAGTTTGTCGGGCCTTTGTTGCTATTCCCTAGGGTTTTGGGAAAGTTCGGTCTTACGTATCATTCAACCTGTGCTCTTCAACGAGGAGGAACATGAATCAGAACTCCCAAAACCTCCATCCTGAGTTTTTCCGAGCCCCCAGTGTCCTACTTGAGCAACAGTCAAACTACACAACAGTTTGGTCCCCCAAAAGAAATTTCACCAAATCCACTCAGGTTTTCCACAGAATGCTACCGGGACTTCTTTGTGGACACGGCCTTGGTGCCCTTCATGTCGCGCTCGGTCTCACTGCTCGAAGAGTTAGCTGCCCGGCCCATGGCGTTGGTTTGCAGCGGTTGATGGCATCTGAAGCGCACATGCATTGGGTGGTTGGGATATGGAAGGAGTGGGACCTCGTAGTGGGCACCAGAACTGGCACTCAGGTAGATGTGACACATGCTCCAGTTCCAATCTTTACTATATACCCGGTATATCCATGATTGAGAACAAGTGTGTATGTGTATGTGTGACAGAGTTTATATATATATATACACATACATGTCTGGTAGACGCTAAAATTTATACATGCATTTTCATGGTTTTCAAAAACACTGATAGTGACCCTAAAGATATACTGTAGAACACTGTGGATAGAGGTTAACACGATGAACTACGTATCCCCTTGAATGGTGTGTTGATGTTGGACATTGTTTCAGTCTACTTGCGAGTGTCCTAAATAGGTTCAGGGATCTTTCCCATTGAAAGAGTGTAAGACAACATCATTTGAGGACCCCTGCCAAGACTTCCCTTTGTCCCGACTTGATGCTGAACACTCGAGGCTGAAACAGATGACGCGATCAATCTGAACAGGCGCGGCTACTGCTTCTTTGCAGGGTCTGATGCCGGAACGAAGGCCGATCTGCCGGAAGCTGGGCGGGTGGGTGGGTGACTGTTGGCCGTAGTGGATAGCTTGTCGAAGACACAAACCGCATGACCGGCAAAGGTTTGTGAGCCTTTGTCAACTGGGTCTGGGTACCACGGAAATCCCGAATGCAAACAGAACTTGGTGCAGTTGATGCTCCCAGCTAAAAAACTGCCAACATGGTACACTGCAACCTTGGGACCTGGGGCATTTGGTGGCCAGAAACAACACAGGATTCCCTGAATCCCTCAGGAGTACCCAAGCTTCCAGGTCCAGGAGTGGGATTGTCCAATTGAGAGAAATGATCCGGCTGGGCCCATCTGTCAATTTGACCATTGAATCATGCAATCCAGTCCAAGCACTGCGGCCACCATGGGCTATGCTGATGTCCCCCAAACGCAACCATCGAAGTTCTGGCTGAAACGGAAGACGGATCTTGGAACGGGATGCGGAACGGACAACCGCACGGCTTTGGTGTTAAGATGTGTTAGGCACCTGGCTGGAACGTGGCCACCTCCGGTCACCTCCAGAAACAACGCCCAGTAGCATAACCGGTTCCGGCCACACTACAAGCATCCCAAACCTTGCCAACCAAGAACAGTACCAGGATTGTTGAAGGGGCGTGTCGAATAGACTGGTAGTCCAGCCAGGTGACTGGTTGCCCGCGCGACATCGCACTCGCACTCGATCTTGTTATCTCTTCCATTCTTCTCTCTGCGCCCGTTTTGTCGTGCAGTTTCGCAGCGGTCACCTGGCTGGGCTCCAATCGCTGAACGCTCGCTGGATCGCTAAACACTCGCTGAACACGATCGGGCGGTTTTCATGCCTCCACAGGCCTTGGAGCGCTTCGGTGTCCAAGCCTCCAGCTTCGGCGCCGGGCCCTTGCGGCGCCACGATGGAAGCGCTGGACGTGGACTGGCGGAGTATGAGAGGACGGGCACTGGACTGGCGAGAGAGAGAGGGAGAGGTAACTGGGGAACTGAGGCAGAATTGGATTCGAGAACTGGGAGCTGGATTGAAGAAGGGCGATCAACTCAATTGCTCCACGGTTGCCAACAAAAATCGAGAGCTTTTGCGGTTTGGCAGGGCGAAAGGATCCGGATGGAGGGTCCAAGGTACCTGGTACGTAAGTAGGTTTCATGGGCTTTTCTCTTTTCTTCATCGGCGATTGGCTGAAGAAACCCTGCCAGGAGCTGCCAGGGCACCCCTCTCAGAAAGCGTGTCAGCCGGAAGACCGGTCGGTTCGGGTCATGGGAACCGACCGGGGTTCACCACGAATGGACGACCTCCGTAGCCGTTCGCTACCAGGCTTTCTTCTGCCCGGCGGGTTCCGGGTGCCATGACCCACACCCAAATCTGGTGGTGAATTTGGAGTACGGAACGCTTGATGCAGAAAGGAGACGGAGGAGCCAGACTTCTGGAATCAGTCAGAATGCACCCAAGGTGGATTGAGGAAGTGCAGGCTAAGCAGTATTTAGTCATAAAACCACTTGGCAGTCCTTCTTTGCTTGGGGGTTTTCGGTCTCCCCTCCGCGAGGGAAGGCCCCATCGGTCGCCGCAGGAGTCCCGCCAATGGATTTCGGGGCCCCACGGGCTTGGACCTCGTCTACGGCGGCTCGGTGGAGCCGGCAGGGCGGCGCCGAACGGAAACACCGAAGGAACGTGGGGCAGTGCAGGGCGGAGTCTGGTGGGATTCTAGAAGGGACGCATGTGGCTTGCGGTTGACTGCAATTTGAAAGAGTTTTGAACCACTGGAAATCATCTAGGCAGTAGGAAGGATGAGGAAGGTGTCATCCAAGACACGTGCTTTTCGCAACAAAAGGGGAGGGGGGCGTTTTCCCAGGTCGGCGCACGGGACAGGGGAGCGGCTTTCCATCCTTTTGGCAGAGCCTTCTGGTGTGGTCTTTCCAATGACACTTTCGATTGGACTCGACTCTTTGCCCACAAGGACTGATGAAGACGAGTTCAGATGCCGCGAGGAAGGCTGCTCCTTGCCCCTGAAACCGAGCATGTGGACCCATGGACCATCATGGACCCATAGACCCAACCCCAGCAGCTGAGTATTCTGAAGCTTTGGTTCAACACAAGCTCTATATATAGCAGATACTGTAATATCTATAATACATGGAACCATATATTATACTTCTGCGTCTTAAAAAGCTTCAACTCTTCAGTCAGGGGACGCCAGGGATGCCACACAGTTCTCTCGCGCACCGGTCCAACCGAGCACACTGACATCCAGCGAGGCCCGGAGCTCATCCAGGAGATCTACCCCTTTGTGACCTCGAAGGCACAGGTCATGCTCCACGCCCGCCGCTGCGGATGGCTGGACGCGCAGGCGTGTGTGGCGATGGCTGGACAGCCGTGATGCGCGGAAGGATGTCGGGTGACCTCGTGGTTTCTCCTGTTTTTGGAGAAGATCGGCCCTCCGTGGTGTTTGTTTTGCTTTTTGTCTATTGTTTTTCCTTTCTTTGCTGGTGTGTTTGGTGGAGGTGGTGGGTGGTGGTTTGGTGATGTTTGGTGAAGGAAGATACCAACACAAGCAACAACTTCCCTAACCCGAGCAGTTTGGGAACCTCGCTCAGTTCGCTCCAAGACACTTTGATTTTGAGGGCGCCAGGTGGGGGTGCGGATGGCGCAACATGGGGGTGCTGCTCACCCAGTCAACCCACTTCAACCCACATCCATTTGCTGCTGCAAGAAGGTCCAACTCACCAAGTTCCAGCGGACCGCCCCTTGCCAGGCTTTGGGCCGGGCGATGTTGACTGCGTCGGGCGGGCAAGTGCTGCGTGGCGAGGCGTTGAGTGGCACATCGTTGAGTGGCCACGCTGGGTTGGCTGAAAACGCTATATACGTCGAGTTTATGGAGTAGAGGTAACGAGATGAATCAACGGAGCCTCAAAACCTCGCCGCTACCTCTCCTCGCTCTCCTGATCTTTCAGCGGGTGATGCATTGCTCCTGGCTGTTCATGGTTTAACAAAATGAGCTCGAAAGCCGTTCCCATTTTTCCGTGAAGCGGAACCCCCTCCTGATTCTGAGGAAACTCAGGGGAAATCATTATCAAGCTGAAAGGATCCCTGTCCTGGTCCAGGTGGTCGGCTTCGACACCCACCAGGGCGCCGTGACCGCAGTGCAGGTCCAACAGCGGCTTGGCCGCGCGTTGCGCGCGCCACGCGCGTCGTTGGGAGCTTTGACCGGTGTAATGGGTTCTCGAGATGTCGAGAACACCAAGAGATGCTTGGCTTAGAGGCTTAGCTTTCTATCTAATTGGAAGAGTCACAGTATCGTCGCTTACAGGACTTTTGAACCGATCCTTTGTAGATCTTTGGAGATGCACCTGGAAGCAATCAGATCGTTTATGAACGACTCATCGCCCCGGACGGGATGCCATGACGGACTGGCCAGGGGACCCCCCAAGAGGGCCTGAAGGTCGTCATCCCAACCAAGTCCCAACCACCACGGTGTGATGTAGAAGCTGCAAGCGATGGTGCAGCTTCCGTCGCACTCAGGAACGACGGTGTAGCAGTGTCGCTGAAGTGTGACGCCTTTGTGAATGCAGCAGGCGCTTGGATGGATTCTGGGCTTTGAATTGGCGCTGCTGACCCACACTTTCCTTTGAGCTTGGACCATTATCACCCTTAATTGTCATTTATAATGCTGTACAGATTACACATACAGATATACACATGATCGTTGTGTTCATGAGCTTTTGACACTTGCATGCCCGGGTGCTGACCCACACAGCCAGGAAAGGGTGAACAAGCTGCTGGAGGCGCCGCCGTTGCCTTTGAAGAACGAGGTTCACGCCAAAGTGCCGCTTGACGCAGGGCTCAGGGGCGCTTGGAGCACCTGGGTGTATTGGGTTTGTAGTCGTTTGGGCGTTTGGGCTGAGAGAGCTCAGGGTGAAGAGGACGAGGAGCAGCAGTTCTGCACTCAATGTAACTTTCTCAATTGGTGAAGATTTAAAGGATATCAGTCTTTCAGACAGACCGACAGACCGTGGGCCCTCACCAGCAAAAAGGTTAACTAGGGATGGAACCCCATTCCAACATGACTGTGAATGTCTATGTTATTTCTGACAATCAGCTGTGTTCTACAGCTGATAGTCGCTCTTGGCTTTGGCTGCTGCAAAGGTCTGCCCCCCTGTGATTACCTTTGCGCTTCAACGGCGCCTCCGGCTACATGGCTCCTCCTGTGCTTCACTCGCGGGTCGCTTCTCCGGCTAAGGATCCTCAACGACGTGCAGGCAGCGACCGAACGGCGTGTCCGGTCCCGGCGAGCGACGGAACAGGAACCGAGTGGCACCGGGGGCTGAACACGGCTGAACGCCAGATGTATGATGCTCCATGAGATCAGTCTGAGTTTCCATCATCGTAGATCAAGATGATGTTTTGTTTTTTTCTATGGTGGCGCTTTTGTCAAGTCTCAGTCAAGTCTCAGCTCATTGTCCGGAGTTTCTATGATTCTCTGGGATTCAATCCAATGTCCTGGGTCAAGACAATGCACCCCAACCCACAGTTGAATGCCTAGTACATAGGTCAAACAACAAGACACTGGTGACCTTACTTACACTTGTCCAGCTATTTTCCTGGCAGGAGGTAAGAGGAGCTCATACCGGTTCAGTTCCATGGATCAATCCCACTAAAACTGCAAGTTCTTGCATCCAATTGGGAGACCTCGCAAAGACCCCCTGGAAGAAGGGAAATTTGCCCAAACCAATTGGTTGGGATTCCAAACCACACGACAGTCTGCGATTGTTTGTGGACATACTTCCATATGGGGCGGCATTCTACCTTCAACTTAGACCTTGATTTGAAGTGTGTTCATTTGACTGCGACCCTTTGCATGTGCGTGCATGTGATGTCGAGGCTTCGTTCGTGTTTACCTTACGCTTAGCTGAGGGCAACCACTGCACAGAGACACTGGTGCGAGAAACTACAAAGGCCAAAAACCCATATTGGTTGGGGGGTCACCCAGGGACTCCATCTTCGCGACGGTGAGCCCATCAGTGAGCCGACCCCCTTCAGGGCGTGATCCCGCAGACCGCCCCTTTCATGGTCTGGCGCGACCAAGTGGACCTGGACTGGGAGGAAGACATGAAGGAGTCGACCGGTCACGGTGGCATGGTCCTTTTTTTACAGACTTGGGGAGGGATTCTTCCATGAATGAGGGCACAACAAAGAGTATTTCAAGGAGCCCTCAAAAAGGAACCTGACCAGCTTCAGGTCTTCGACCTGGTTTCCGCACCCTTTTCAGGTCCATCCCCCTAGAAGCCACCGGGCCAACCGGGGGAGGGGGTGACGGCAAGCCATATCTAAAACTCCAGTCCAACTCGACAAAGGCCTCATGACCCTGCGACGTTTCTTTTTCCCACATGGGGAGAGGATTCGGAGCCTTTTCTCCGGTTGGGATTTCCGTTCTCCTCCGTAGAGCTTCCAAGGGAGTTTGCCCACCTGCGTGACTTGAAAGGGGTGCCAACCGATGTGCTCACCCCAGCCACACTCCCCACCGAAGAACCTTTGAAGCAACTGGAGGAGTTCCTCTTGGAGCTGGATGACACCGCAACTGGTGGAATGGTGCCTTGAAGCTGGGGAGGACATGCTTTCGTTGGATCGTTGTGGGGGTGAAGACCGTGGGTTCTCAGTTTTCTTTTTTGCCGCGGGGCCGTGGTGGATCAACGGGACTCACACGGATTCTAAAAGTTGTCCAAGCAGTCTTACTAGTACTTCACTGGCCTTGCGGCCTTACTACTAACAAGAAGCTCGTTTTCTGGGGGCTCCGGGCCTTACTAGGAGCGATCGGACGCTACTGGGCCGGGACCGGCGCCTCGACGGACCGTCCCGGCAGCGTCCCGGACGGCCCGAGACCGGGTCGAAGACCCGGACCGGTCCGGCACCGGAGCGTCGAGAGGGAGGGAATCGACGGTGGTGAACGGACAGACTTGAGAAATAGGCAGATATCGTTTTGTTGCTTTCTTTCTTCTAAGCCTAAGCCGTTGAAGAAGAAGAAGACACATCTTGGAAGCCTCAAGGTTTGGGCGGGTTTGGGCAGATGGGTCTTCAGAGGAAGGTATGTCGGCAAGTCGAAACGAGTTGGGGGTAGCGATTTTTTATCCTTTCTGACCGAGCGTCCATGCTGGGGTGAGACACATGTTGTATCAGGTCCTTTCTCATGAATGCCATGGGTGCGGTAGCTGCGGGTTCAATGAGATTCTATGTGGCCAGAATAGACCGCCAGAGCAAAGTTCCTTTGGCCACTGCTTCCTGAGTTTGACTTGTTCAACCAATCTTATATATTTATATATACTGTATGTTTACTGTAATCAATTTATGTCAAAGCAATACTGCTCATGGTCAATTAGATCACCACCAAGGGCCGAATGTCCTTGACCTTGATCATTCAACGATCTGCCAGGTGAACTCAGCTTCCTGGTTGGCCAAGCAACCAGGAGGCCAGCATTTGCGCCCCTGTGGCAATGGCCGTGTGCTGCTCCTTTGGGAGCATCTCCACCGGCACGTGCCAGTGCCGGAGGAGCTTCCGAGGGGAGGGCGCTTGCGAAGCAATGTGCGCGCCTGTTGCATGTGCATCGGGTCGTTTTGGACCAGGCAGTATGCTTCACAGGTCTTCACAGTTGCACATCCGCTGTTGGAGAAGTGCGTTTGATTCCTGTCACACTGCATAGCTGACAGTTCTTGGACGTGCGGACAGTTCTTGACAGGATCCTGAAATGCCCATCAGCGATTTCTTGGAGATGTATCCGGAGCTTTGCGTGAGAGGCCTCAAAGAGATGGTGACCCTTGGCTCCAATGGCCGGTGTGGGAGGGGCAGGTTGTTGGGAGGTGGTCGTTGCAGAATGTGTTGATGATTTGGAGCTGCCTTTCTACGTCAGTCATAGACTCATAGACAGTTATCATCTGTTTCTTTGGTTGACTGGATGGAGTTCTTTTGCAGGAGGCTGTCGGAAGCTATAATAAGGTAGCCCGCTTGGACGTAGGATTCCAACATAGTCCAACCAGGCTTGGATTGGATTCTGGGCACCGGACTCAATCCGGGCCTGTCTCCATGATTCTTCATGCCTCAGTGTAGCACTCAGTGTAGCGCTCCTTGTGCCTCGACTCAAAATAGACATGAAGGAAACTGATCTTGATCCTCCAAACTATTCGCAGTGTTCTCATGTTCCGTGCGAATTTGCCCTCCTTCGGACCCCCTCTCTCCGTGTTTTCGGCTCCTGGCTTCCTGGCGTCTTCCCTCGCTCTCCAGGCCCGGCCTCGGTGGGTACGTGGAGGGCTTGGGGAAGGACACCAGCGTTGATGGAGGTGCGGACCGCTCGCGCGAGTGGCTCTGGGGGTTTTCAGAGGACGATGAGGATGCGGTGGATTTTGGAGAAAAACATGAGAAGTCTCAGAGGATTGGATGATGTGCATAGGTTTTTGCCTTCGCAAGGGTTCTACCTTTTGTGGTTCGCAAAGGTTAAGGCTCAATTGGACAAGGCTTCGATGAGTTCAAGAGAAAGGAGACTTCCAGGTATCTCAGTCATCTTTGGAGCCATCCATTGGAAGCTCCTCGATCTGGAGTTCTGTCTCAATCGTCTTGGTCCAGGCTACTACACCGTCATGCCGGATGGCCGCCCACTGGTGAGCCCTCACGGTGCCTCCAACGCTTATGTCTGTGGAGGCACGAGCAACGCCTGGCACGAGCGGAGCTGAGAGGACTTCGGCGCCCGAGGTGAGCTGTGTGGTACGACACCTTGGGAACTGTGGAACCCTGTGGTGCACTGTGGAAGCCTCCGATTTCAGCCACACATGGACCACCTGAAATCAAAGATGGATGAGCCTCTTGGTGTTCTTTGTTGTTTTTCCGCATACGCATCAGAATCCAAAGTTAGGTGGCCTTTGATTCGCCGCTGCACATGCTCCGCTCACTGCCAGCCGCAGGCATGGGCACCTACGGCTTGATGGGCTCACCTGCTGCAGGTGCGGAGTGTGCGCAAGAGGCCGATGGAAGAGGGTCGCGGGGCCTCTCTTTGAGACCAGAAGAAGAGGACAAATGGTGAGAAGAGGGCATGAAAGAGTTCTCATGTGGCTGGAGGGTCTCCCTGTTGCAACCACGGTACCCAAATCTATATTTTTCACCTTTTCGGGCAGACATTATATTATATATATTATATTCATAGAGTCGAGTCACAATCAATCGCGAGACGAACCCTGCTTTGCCTTAAGACGAACCCTGCTTTGCCTTAGAATTGGGACGAAGCGTGGGGGTCTAGAATGCAACCTGTTCCCACCTTCATGACTATTTTTGCTTTGGGACGGGGAGTTTGTGTTCATTCGTTAGCCAAAAGCCTCCTGCTTTTCAAGAAACCATGCCAGGAGGTAAATGATCCGTGATGGTAGCGAAACACAAATACATTTCTTTACACACAAACAGACATTCTTCTTCTTCCTGGAATGTACTTGGCGAAGATACACTACAGGCTCCTCACCAGCTTTCAGATCTTTCAGCATCCCAAAGCAGATAGGCATTGTGACAAGGATTGGCATTTGTCCGACTACGATTGGTGAGGAATGCATGTAGCTCCACGGCAAGTGCCGGTGGAGAGTGCTGACTCAGAAGGCCTTGACAACTCATGTGAAGGCCTTGAGCACGTTTGGACGGATGCAGCGAAATGCTGCAGAGGGACTGCGAAGTGCTGCCTTTGTGCATAAAGGGTTAAAAAGGCAAGAGTGAAATCGCCTTTCACCGATTCTGGCCTTTTAAAAACAAGTGTGTTGGATTGCTCACAAAGAAACTAAGACCCGCGGCTCGTTGTTCAGATTCCCTGGCGCTCCCCTCTTGAATCAGACTTCGCGCACGCGCGCGCGCGCTGATAGCTCAGTCGTCGCAGGAGAGCTGCTGGCCATGCATCTTCTGCAGGAGCCTTTGCCCAGCTACGCGCCGCTCGGTTCTCCGTTGGACCGGGACCGGTGGACCGGGGCCCTGGTTGTGGGCGGCAGATAAGTCGCTCAGATAGGTCGATCGGTGTGGTGAAGTGACCGGGTGGTAGACCAATGATTTTGAGGCGAGGGAGACCCAAGCGGCCCAAGCGGAAGATTTGCTTCTTCTGTGCACACACACACATAAGTAGGCTTCGGATCATGATAAGCCTTAGACTCAGAACCACGTCAGACCACAGAGAGAGAGAGAGAGGAAAACATCAGAGACAGAGGCAGAGGCAGGCTCAAGCACATTCTCACAGCGCTCTAGGACCCTCTGAAGATGATTGAGTCAGGTCATGTATTGCAATAGTCAATAGTTGTTGCACACCACTGTGTTTTCTTTTGGGAGTTCCGAGTCCCGAGACTAGGAAGAAGTGCATCGCTACTAGTAACAGGTGCTACTAGCAGGGTGCCTTACTAGCAGCTAGCAGTAACAAGGGTCCCAATCATTTGAGATCCGTCGACCCCACGGACCGTCCAGGGACGCCTGCCTGTGGCCGCGGCGCAGCGTGCCTGAAGAAGAGGTCATTGACCTGCCGCTCCGGTCGCAAAGAGCCAGGTCGGTGAGACCGGGATTGAGGCGATTGGTCCGTTGGGGAGACCAGGATTCCCGACCTCCCTTCTGAGATATTCTGAGCACCTCTTGGATTGAGAGGAGATCTGGCCACATGATTGGGTTGGGAATGACCGTCCAGAGATACTATAAGGACAAATGGACAAACATGGCATATTCACAGGGAAAGGTGATTAGACGAGTAGTGGCCGATTTTATGGGGAGGTTCTGCAGGGGCATTCAGCGCAAATTATCATGCGATCATCATTAAGCTATTCTTGCCGATCATATTCATCACATTCCCAGTATGTCTCAAATATGTACTGACAAGATGCCTTCCAGGTAGCCCTCCAACCAACCCCAAATCTTCGAACAGCGTTTCCAATCGAACAGCCCCAAGGTTGGACGAGTCCAGCTAGCGCCGAAGCCGAACTCGCCGAACTGCGCGGCCCAGCTGGTCGCCACACCTCGTCGCTGTGGCGTTCAGCGGCGGACTCGATGCGTTCAGCGGCCGCGTTCAGCGAGCCACGGAGGAGATGACGATGACTTGGCCAACAGCGAAAACGGTCTCAAAGCACCCTCACTCCGGCACCCTTTCCACCTTCTCTGAGAAAGTGATCGGTCACAGCAGATGTTAACACCCTGGACGACAGATGACAGGCTCGCGTGGCTTGACAGCGGCATCTTGAACACCTTTGTGCCATGGAGGAAGCGCTCTGGATTGATCCTGAAGAAAATCGTCTCCGCGCGCCATGGGGGATTGTCAGAATCTTTCAGAAATTTCAGAATCAGGTCGCTGCAGTTTTCCTTGTTCCGGAAGCCTTTTGAAGAGCTCATTGTACAGAGTGGATCATAAACATTGCCACTTCTACAAGGTCCACTTGGGTTTGTTGAGCCCTGAACGAGAAGGATTTTCATATCATTACAGTATAGAGAGTGCTCGCTCACCTCTAAGAAATTGATACCTCTTTGTGAGAGATGGAGTTCACCTACCTAGCTCCCACTCAACAAAAAAAACACGAAGCATCCACTCTTCCAACCTTCGGAGTGAATCCGTCTCCGTCTTTTTCCGACCCACTACGGGTGTGGTAACCACCAAAAGAACCACCCGAGTGGACAGATGGAACAAATCATTTGATCCACCTCCTTCAAGTGGAATCTATAGCTAAATGCACTATATACTACACCGATACCTCTGACATGCGCGGTTAGCAACTCACTCCTGTCGGTGTGAAATATCGTTGGAACTCTGCCTGAGCCATGGCCTATGGTGGTCCTCCGCTCGGAGGATGGCGGAAACACGTTGCGATACTGGGATCATGTCGCTGGGACCGCTTTTCTGAAGCGCTCGGGTGGGGGTTTTCTCAAAGCTTTGACGGTGCCATTTTGGGGTGCAGTTGATGCAGGCTTCTTGTGGGAATGGAATGTGACAAAATCCGACTACTAGTGACTACCCGACAAAGCAGGTGTATTCAGATCAGGGATTTCCCTGTTGTCATGCAGGTGGCGAGACGTGCCGTTGTGTGGCCCAAAAGGCAACAGCTGCAAGTTGGTTAGAACAAACCAATCTAGTTGGACTTCTCTTAAAGTATGGAGTTCCATCAAGCAATGGGTGTTCGGTGGCGTGTCCCTGGTTTGAGACACAAAGCTGAGAACTTCCATTCTGAGCAAACAGGGCATCGGATAGTTGTGGAGAGTTCCCCGTGAATTCACAGATAGAAACTGGCAGAAACCAAACGAACGCACCAAACTATTCGCAAGTCCTCGTTCCTCCAACCCACGGGTCCATTTTTAAGGAGAGTGTATTGCAGACAAATGACAAATACATGTTTGACACACAAATGACAACTCCTGGAGTGTGTTTTTCCAGTGAACGCCTGCCTTTTTTCTCCAGGAGGCTTGGGCTTCTCGAATCCCAATCACCTGGACACCATCAAGCGTGGCTGGGAAGCCTATTTTTGAGTGAGAGGAGATGGTTCCAACCGAGGAGCAGCGCTTCAGGATGAATGATTTCCCCGCACTGCTCGCTGTTTCGGACTGCTGGAGGTTGGGACTACCACCCTGAGGAGCACCGAAACCTGCCCCCGGCCGGCGTGGCCGGCGCGAACGCACCGTCTCCACAGGTGCTGCGGGGTGGCACTTCGGAAGCGTTGCCAACCCGGGGATTGGTCCAAAATGGCTGATGCCACGCGAGAGGCCAGGTATTTGAACTTAGCAGCCAGGTATGCGAGGGCATGTGCTAAAGGTAGGAATAAGAGACACCAGGATGGTCAAAGCTGGATCAATTGAACCCAGATCTCACTCATGGGGACGTCCCTGCATATGGGATCTGATCGGTGGAAATGGATATTTTTGGACACGACACACGTCTCCATTATATCGGCCTATATGTTTCACCTGTTCACAGCACTTGTTCAATACTACGCAGGTTCTTTTGAAAGATGTTCAGATTCCTGAGCTCCACTCTCAAAGCTCCGTTCTTGAAGAGCATCGTTGGGTCAACCTTGGATCGATCTTTCATGACAGCCTCTTGATGAAATACGTGGAACCTTGGTGGCCAGAGGAGTTTCTTGGTTTTGACATTGGACATCTTCTCTTCGTTTGAGACCTTGAAACCCCAAATCCCCGATGAGGCAGGGAGGAACTCGGTGGGATCGGGAGATGGAAGACCTACCTTCATCACCGGTCGTGTGCACCAGGTGTAAGGCTCTGACCCAGAGCCGTTAGTAGTGAAGGTGCGAGGCAGCCTCAGACACTCACAAACAGACCCCTTGTTCATACAACCATCACACGTGTCATGCCTCTAAGCAACACACGTGTCATTGCATCTCCAACCAAGCATCAAGTATAGGCACAGTAATCAATTTTCCTGCAATCTTGATGCCTGAAAGCTTTCACCAGCCGTGTGGAGCCGCCTTATCGCCGCGTAGGTCTCACCCCCGAACTCTGGGCAGCCGCTGCTACAGGCATCCTGGAGAGAAAGGAAGGTGGCAGGAGGGGTGGGGTGTTGGATGCTGTTTGCCTGCTAGCGTCACTGAAGAACAGGGAAGAGCTATCGATGTTGGGATTTGCTGCAATATCCCTGTGTTTACAGCTTTGGTGGAGAACATCATTGTTTGCGGGAAGTTTCCACGTGTCCGAAGTAGAGGAGGCAGTAGAGGCAATTTGTTCCTTGAGTTGACTGTTGAGTTTGAGCGGCAGTACCACCCTTCATGTGTCGGCAGAGGAATATTTAAACCTGCTTTTGGCGCACAGTACTGCAGGTAGATATATCCCCGATTTGTGATATTGTACGAGGGAGTGCGAGGATCCCCCCAAAAGAGAACATATGTTAGACGAATTAAGAAGCTCTCAACAGATTCACCGCTTTGACAAGGGCTACTCGCAGTACCAGAATGGCTTGGCTCCATCCATGCCTGAGGCCCATGCAGTCCGGAGAGTACTCAGGTTTGTCAGAGAGAGAGAGAGAGAGACACCAGGGGAGAGGTAGAGGGAAGACTGGGTCAAGACCAAACACATTCAGACTTGCTCCTGGATGGTATATTCGTTTGTTTGTGACTCACAGTTTTTGCTCTCTCTCTCTCTCTCTTCTTTTTCTGGTGGACAGGACCACCCCCCTCGAGTCGGTGTTGGCCCGACCCGTCCACCACGTAGTGAAAGACACCGACCGACCCTTCCACTCCGGTGACGGGGGGGAGTCGCACCTGGTGCCATGACCCCACCGTTCAGTCTTTTTGTGGTTTGGTACCCGCGGGCCCGGGGCAGCAGGGAGGAGGAAGATCCAAGTATCCCCCACTCCACGTTGGTGGATCATTCCTTTTGCTGGTAGGCTTGCACCGGGTTCGGTACGGGGGTACCCAGTGTATGGGTACCTAGCACTCCATTTCCGAGCCACACCGAGGCATTCGGGTTGATGGAAAAGAACCAGCTTTCGTTTGAAAAGTCTTGGAGATGCCGAGTCTCCAGAGGAGCCCCATGTGCGCTCAAGCGCCAGTGCTCACGAGCTATCTCGATACGCACTAGCTACCGCGCCTGCGACGACAACTCGCAGGCACAAGCCACGCCTCCGGGTGGGGGAAGCCACATCCGCATCACCGTGCCGCAGCTCTTCGATGGGCGGCCACTGGCCTGTGTCGATCGATCGATCATGTCCGCCGCCGAAACCGGGCGGGACCCGGCTCCGAGTGGTGGTGACCATCTCGGCAGTTTGCCAAAGCACTCCTTTGGTTCTGAGGAGGGTACATATACACGCTACCCCCCCCCCAAGAAAAACCTACCTTTTAGACAATTTCATTGGTATTTGCAATGATTTGGTGAGATTTCAGGGCACAAACTGAACAGCACATTTTTGACCATGTTGTGGTCTTTGACTGGGTGTTAGTTAAATCACTGATTGGTCCTAACTGTTTTGTATCACCGGCGCCTATGATAATTGTATTGTCCTCATGTTTATCAGTCAGTTTTAAAACCTTATTATTAATATTATATATAGATATAAAGATTGGTCATATAGATTTCATCAAAGAAGATGACATCAAAATTGCTATGATGAAACTCTGGTAGTTCATCCTCCTTATGAACTGGAATTCTAAAAAACATGTTGTAGGTTGTTGCGTCACCTTCTATTTCTTGACTTAACCGGCTATGAGGCACTACAAACAAAACATTTTTAAATACTGACCTATGTAACTGTTGCCCGATCCAGCAAATTTTCCAGTCTGATATGATTATATATATATAATGATTTGGTTTGCCCATCACTCTAGTTAAATCGTCTTCATGGATCGTGTAGGCATCACTCTTCACTGAATAGACCTTAATAGCATTGTCTACCAGTTTATTATATGCTTCATACATTGACAAGTTATGATATTGAAGTAGCAACTCTTTTTTGTATCTAAACCTATTGACTAATCTATTTCTATTGGTGGTGTTTAAGATGCAATAGGTATTGCCCATGATTATTTCTTATTCTTTTTCTATTTCTTGTTGTATGGCATAAATCCTTCCTCCAAATTCCTTCTGGCAATGGGATGCCTCCTGTTGTATGGCAAATCCTTCCTCCAAACTCCCTCTTGTAATGGCATGCCTCCCTCAAAGTGTTAAAGCAGTAACTCTTCTGTGCGGTGTTGTGTGACTGTTCTAGCATTCCAAAGGTGATGTGTCCTATTTTATTTTGTCATCTTTAGTAAGAGCGGCTTCCCATAGTTTATTAACAATCTGGTCATAATTCACCTTATGAATGAATGAAGGAGTTTTATAACACATGATTTTTTTCATTTCATTGTTTGCTTCCTACAGTTTTCTTAAACACTTTTCATATATATATTTAGTTATATCTCTTATTGAAAAACATTTGATGCCTTCACTTCCACCATACACAATGTTAAGCTAGATAATTTGCTAATGTCAATGTCATCACTGTAATGTTTCCAACTATCAAACTCATTAAAGACCGGTATGAATTTAGTCTGTGTAAATGCCCATGTAAAGGCTTTAGTCCAGTCAATCTCTATCAGTTTTGTTGTAGCAATGTTATTTAAGGGCTACGCCCCCATGCCGCCGATTTCGGGAAGGAGTGCGGCAGCGAGTCCAGAGGCGGAGGTGGTTGAGAAGTCCCTTCCCACAGTTCCCTTCCTCCAGTTCTCCTTCCCCCGGTTCCCTTCCCACAGGCCCCTTCCCCCAGTTCCTTTCATCATCTTTCATCCAATCCCCTTCCGCCAGTTCTCCTATGAGTGACCTTCCTCCAGTGACTCGTCAGGCCGAGGTATCCAGCACCCGGGGACCAATCGGGATTTTTTTAGACCAATCGGGATCGATGTTATTCAATCTCGGATGCTCAGGGCATGTATATATATATAAAGTTATATATATATAGATACATAATGCGTAGAAGGGCTAAGTGACAGAAAGCCGTGGCCGGAGTGGATTGTCGCCAGTCGTTGCCGTGCAAACCCACGGAAAACTGAACATTTCGATGTTGTGTTCACCGGCAGATCAGAGAAGTCTTTGCAGAGACCCGAATTCTCTGGAACAGTTTCTAGGATATCCAGAGGCACTACAGGATTTTCAGGTTGTGTGCCTGACCCAGCGCGGCTGACCCAGCGCGGCTGTGCTGAAGTATCCTTAAGCAGCATGCCAGAGCATGAGTGTTCGTTCGTGCTCGCCCTGGCATCCTCACTAGTGCATCAGCAACGCGCAATGTCATGGCGCGGCGATGCCCAAGAAAGGGCGCTATAACCAGGTCGCGGGGAGCTCAGGGTGTGACTGATAGATGAAGGGAGACAAAGGAGAGAAACGGGAGAGCAAAGGCAGAAAACATATCTGAGTCAAACGCACTAGATGTAATGGTTTGTCTTTGAAGTCGCAACCCCAGGCAGCGAAATCGTGCAAATATTCAGGACGAACATCAAGAGACGCCAACAAACGCAGGAACGAAAGAAAGGTCTAGGCAAAGGTCCTGAAAGAGCAGAGAGAAAAGAACAATGCATAATACTCATGAGATACAGCTGCGAGAGCCTTGTTTGGAGGACAGCTGTTCTAGCCTGATCTTGCTTTTGTGCAACTGCAAAGGCCAGAGGTTTGCTACATGCTGTCTTCTTATTGGAGCACTCCCCTGGTCACAGTCAGTAGGGTCAGGCAAAACCACAAGATCCCTTGCCTCATTCCGTACTGCGACCGTTGCCCCTCCGCTTCAGGTCGTTCAAGGAGCACCCCACCATCTAATTCCACAAAAAACGGCCAACAATTCGTCCTCGGAGCTGCTCTCTCAGTGCCAAACGTTGCTTTCTGACGGCAGTAAGAATCCTCTTCCAGTCCTCTTCCAGAAGCCGTGCTTTCTCTTCTAGTCCGCTTCCAGATTCCGTGCTTTCTGACGACAGGATGGAGCTCACTCCCAAGGCTCCGCCACGCTTTTCCACCATCTAATTCCACACAAAAGCAACCAAAAATTCGTCCTCGGAGCTGCTCTCTCACTGCCAACCGTTGCACTCTGATGGCAATCTTCTTCTAGTCCTCTTCCATAAGCCGTGCTTTCTCTTCTAGTCCGCTTCCAGAAGAGGATGGAGCTCCAGAGGCTTGCTCCCAAGGCTCCCGGCAATCTGTGCCGCTACGCCTTTCCACCATCTAATTCCTAGCGTTGCTTTCTGACGGCAGTAAAAATCCTCTTCCAATCCTCTTCCAGAAGCCGTGCTTTCTCTTCTAGTCTGCTTCCAGAAGCCGTGCTTTCTGACGGCAGGGTGGAGCTCCAGAGGCTCACTCCCAAGGTTCCCGGCAATCTGTGCCGCCACGCTTTTCCACCATCCAAGTCCACACAAAAAACGACCAAAAATTCGTCCTCGGAGCTGCTCTCAGTGCCAAACGTTGCTTTCGGACGGCAGTACAAATCTCTTCTTCTTCCCTTCCAGGAGCCGTTCTCCAGGAGCTCCCACTCTGAGCCGTTCTCCACAACCTCCCAATCTAATCTACTCTCTCAGTTCCAAAGAGCTACTCTGGGCCAGTGTCCTCTGGCGAGCTCCCCCATCCGTCGGCTGGGGTCGGCGGATTTTATCAACTAACCTGATGGGATTTGAGCCCTACATTCATGCAATATTGCTACATTAGTCATATCATATTTTGATATATTTGTGTCATGTCTTATTGCATGATGACTCTTGAGATGCTGACTGCACGTTGGTTCCAGGAAAGTACGCATACAAACGCATTTGTGCGCGTACATGGCTCAAACCAACAAACCAAGAACCAAAATTGCACACAACTCTGGGTTTGATGCAGCCAATGTACATTACACAAGTTGGATGAGCCGGGTCTCAAAGGACACACCCCAAACCAAGATTCACCTTCATAGGTTTCTAAAATCTTGGTTCTTGGTTTCTTGGTTTGAGCCATGTACGCGTACAAATGCGTTTGTACGCGTACTTTCCTGAAACCAATGACGTGCAGTCAGCTTTTCAACAGTTGTCATGCAATAAGACATGACACAAGAACATTGAGACATGTATATATGTATATATAATGTATATGTTGGGTCTGTCCTATTACTTGTAACAGTCAGTAAACAATGATCACTATTTTTATATATTTTTGCATAAGGCCTTTACTTACTCACCATCATCGTCCACTGTTACAGGCATTAGGATATATATGGTACTAACTGAAAGATTATCATCCCCAGCCGCGAAAGTGTCCAAAAGGTAGGTTTGGGGTAGGTTGTGAAACATCCCAAGTTTGCTTTACTTTTTGTTGATCACGATCTGGTGTTGGGTGATACAGCTCGTAGATATCTACCATGTGACTTAGTGGCACTTAGTAGTCACTAGGTATTGTAGAAACTTCACGTTGCAATTGTTTATAGTTACTTTCATTTATTGTGTCGTGTTTGCGTTGCAGTCACAGTTTCAACGACTAGTACGACAACCAGAAGAGGACAATGCTTGCGACCATAACCACTGTTGCTATGATGTGTAGCAGCACCGTTTTTTGACCAAAGGCAGTTTCTAATCGAATTGACATTGTGCTTCCAACAAGTCCAACTTGCAGATCATAACTATCACAAAGGTGATTGGATGGTTGGAAAAAGGCACTACACGCCGCTGGAGCTTGGACATCAGAATAGGGAAAATGCCTCTGTCAATCTGTCATTTGCACCTCCAGTACGTCACTGTGTCCTTGAGTTGTTTGTTTTGAGGTTGGGTCTCATCATCCAGAACTGCTGGATCTCTGCGATTAGCAATCCCACAGCTGCGCAGTATGGCTGGCAGGCGTGGAACATACGGGTTTCATCGCAGTTTCGGACGAAGCGGTGTCCGGTTGGTGCAACGGCCCAGCGTCGGGTTTCAGCCTTACAGAATCATAGCTTTGCTTTTCATTGGCTTGCGTGAAGGATGGCAGGACAACACATTCGGAGACTTAGGGTTATGGAGGACGTTTGCGGGATTGACGCATCGCCATCTCCCCGTAGTGACTGAACCTCGTGTTTCATTCCCATCAGCTTGGGTAACGTGAGTAACGGCCCACCTGCAGCACTGCACACGTCCGCCTTCTCAGCGCGTGCGCGTGAGGTGGGTGACCACATCCTGTCGGTGAATGGACATCCAGTTTCCACCATGCCACAGCTCAGTGAGGAGATCAGGCGATCGCTAAGCGATGAGATGTTGGCGTGGAGAATGGATGGAGAATGGATGAACGATGGATGAATGATGAATGAATGAATCATGGATGGAAAGATGTATCGTGGGTGGGACATCCGGTGGATTTGTTGATCTGTTTGGTGTGGGTTCCTGTTGGGACTGCGGGAGACTACAACCTGACTTTAGCTAGGCAGCTAACCCCATGTGATGGGGTAAAGATGAAACGGTGGGTATTTAAATAGGGAAGCCCCAAACCATTGGGTTTTGGCATAGTACACCTTTCTTCTAGGGGGTCTTTAGGATCTCCTTGTTTTTACACACAAAAACCTTTACATCTGACATTTTCTTTTCACCCGGGCTCATGGTCGAACTCGCCAGGCGGGCGATGAACTCTCATCAGGCTAGGATGAGAACGCCGTGTCCTCTGGCTGTTGGGCTTGGCACCAGGGAATTGTAATGAACAGAGCCAAGTGCTGCCCACTTTACAGCTTTGGCTTTGATCGGATAGAAAAGAAACTTGCACCACGCGGAAACCCTCTGGTCGATCGATGGTGCATCCTAAAAGCACTTCAGCTGCGGCTGCGACCAAGATGATTTCTCCCATGCGGAAGCCATGGAACGTGGCATGCATGGACCCCTCCAAGAGCTGTATTGTTAAAGGAGATTACACCCTTAGTATTTTGTCCTCAAAATAAATCTGATCCATTTTCCTGATGGAAACGGTTGGAGCTTTGGAGGGCTTCCAGAGGCCATAAGTGCCATGGGCCTGAGTTGCTCCCACCTCAGCATTGGTTCATTGGAACAGTTCATTGGTTCTTTGATCTCAGCATCCAGTTATGGCTACATCTCTTGATCTCAGCAGCAACGAGATGTTGTGAGCAAGCCCACTACGCATCCCTAGCATCTTCGATCACTTACAGAATCCCTCTCCGGTAACAGAAAGAAGGTTTGGGATGGTCAAAGGGTTGAGAAGAGGACGTCCTCTGGGGGTCCAACCATCCCAGTGGGCCATTTTGACCAATTCTTGATGGCCAAAGGGGAGCTCAGGGATGGCCATCCAGGTGGATCTTGGGGTCTCAGATCATCAGTATTCATGGGTTGCTGGCAGTTCCTGGTCCCCTTCTTTCACACACGCATGCCCTCACATGGCAGAACATGTCACCAGTTGCTTGGGCTCGCCCAAAGCCCCTGCCGTCCTCCACGGCTCCGCGGTCCGCCACCGCGCAGGCGGTCTCCCATCCGCTCATCTTCGACGTGTGGCGGCCCGCACCTGCGGGGATGGCGGTGCGGAAGCAGAACAGCGCAGCTCGGTGGCATGATGGGCGAGCCGACCACAAGTCTGGACCGATGCTCCAATGGATCTGACCACAAAGTAACCATCGCGGGACATTTTCAGGGTGATCTAAAGATCGGCACCACCTTGGTGGCGCCACCTGGAGGGGAGCCGGTGTCGTGCCCTCCGCTCCCTCGTCAGATCTGCTGTGATGCCTGTGGTGCGGGGTCCAAGATGAGCCGGGTGCTGTAGCAAGTGCCGAGGTTCCTTTTGTCCGGATGATGGATATATAAATTATATATATATATATAGTGGGATTTGGATTCAGATTTGGATCCCAAGTCGATTTGGATTTGATGTGCTGTGGAGGGAGTGGCAAGGTCATGAGTATTAGATCCTTTATGTTCGTTTAAGAAGCTAGAGCCTAGGGATGAAGGAACAACCCTCCCGTGAAGGAATGTTGAAAGACGCTTCAGTTCCTTCTGCCTCGTGCGCCTTGGCTTAGCCACTGCAGAGCTCCAATATACCATGGGGCCCATGGGGAAATGATACGACTCAGATGGATGCGTCTTTTTCTCAATTCAAACCAGCTGAGTCCCAGTGCCTCGCCACCGGGGTCGACCGCCGCAGATTGCACCGGGCCGACGCAGCCGATGCCGCCGGTCGGGGGACTGAAGAAAGCGAGCCGGCAGCGGGCAGCGGGGCGTTGGGGCGAAGAGGTCAGAAACAAGAACTTGTTCCTAGTAGCGAGGCCAGGAGCCCCTAGTAGCTTGTTCCTGATCCTGTTTGGTCATGAGACTCGCTACTAGAAGATGCGGAGAAGATGCGCCAGCCACAAACAGCAGAAAAGATTGGGCCCAATGACGTTTTTTTCGGTGTAAGTTGTAAGTTCCCTGCAGGTGAGGTGGACGACTGCCGCTATTAGACTTGTATTTTGGCAAGACATTTGTGGGGAAGAGAGTTCCATGTCCATTGATGAGGTAGAAGCGTGACGTTGTCCTGTGCCAACATGGTGTTGTAGTACCTGCCAAGAGCCTGAATCTGGCTTCCCTCATTCATTTGCGCGAATAAGGCCTCATACCCGCAGGTCACGCCCTCCCAGGCCGTGGTCAGTTTACTTTGTGGGTCATGTTTGTCATGGGTTTGTATCGATTTGGATGGCGAAGTCACCTCTCGCTTCTCTGAATCCCTCCCAGACTTCTCTCCCACAACTGTCCTCTTCGCAAGGAACAGGAATTAGGGTGTCACACCTCACATGTTCTTCACCGGACAGATCTTGAGGCTTCCAGATCCTGCACATTTCACAACCTTAGAGCAAACCATGCATGGCAGATTTGACAGCATTACATCCTATCCTCCAGTAAAGGGTTCACTCTGCCAGTCCTCAAACAAATTCGGGTAGTGCTTTTGGAGGGAAGACAACACCTGCAGCCCTGTGAGGGAAACAACTCCGCTCGGGTGGGAGGCCACGGCGCCCCCGATGGCCGCTGCTCCGATGACGGCTCAGGCAGGGCCTTCCACTGACCCCTCTCGACCCCCCAATCGAGTCCTTTTTGGTCCTTGAAGGCTTGAAGAAGGGCTTCTGACAGGATCATTGACTGGCAAAGTTTGAGCAGGAATGTGAGACCCAAACTCACATGACATCATCTCCAAATTCACCAAATTCCAGGTCACTCATCATGTTTTGATCCAACCTCACCAGGCGCCGCCCCTCCGCGGGGGTGGAGTGCAGCGGCGACGGCAGCTTTGCTGAGTGCGCGGACGAAGAAGACTATCCAAAGACATTCTGTCTCCAACTGTTGTTTTGTTTGAAAACATGGAAGGCCCCTGAGGTCAATTTTCCCTTTGACTAGCTTGTGAGAGGTTCACCTGTGAAATTTCTTGATTTGTTCTTCTGAATGTAGAAATCTGTTTGGCCACACACCACTTGGCCATACCATGGCACATGACTCGTAAAAAGTACTGGGGTGTATGTCCATGCAGTTTTGAGGAGAGAAGCTATGAGACAATTAAGATCGATATCCTTTCAATATCTACAGTAGCCCATATATATATATAATATACATATCTAAATGTTTCTCTTGGTCTGTCTCACAGATCCGAACACCAGGCGCTGGGGCCAAAGTGCCTCACCGTGCGCGCGTATCCGCGCAGCGAAGATGGACCCGGAGGAGCTGCAGGAGCTGCAACATGTGAAAGCTGGAAGCACTGCTGACCGGTACAGCAGATTTCTCCCCGGTTACGAGCTATTCTGGGCCTGGGTGGATCCTCATTGTTTGTTGTGTCCATCGTAGGTCAGCCATGTCTTTCCCAGAGAGATTATATATATATATATATATTATATATTATAGAGAGAGAGAGAGGAGTTTTGGGGATCAAGATTCTTTTTATGGATCTGGACTATGAGGTCAGGTTCCAAAATCAGATATCTAGTAGATCAGGTCCTCATTGTCATTTAGACGCCCGCTTGCTTCTGTAAAGTTTCACCCCGTCAAACTGTTGTTGATTTGTGCATGTGCAAGACCTCCTACACCAGTCACATTTCCAGCACTGGGCCTGGGCTACAGATGGTAGGACTGGATCTCCAATGACACGCCAAGGGGATCGTGGGCGCCGCTCCCAAGTCCAGCACTGAACGGCCCCCGAAAAAGAAAGGCTCTTGATTTGGGCCCATCAGAACCCGCCCGACACCGCGCCTGCAGCTTGGTGAAAGAGCGACCAGCATATTTACGACACTGCACTTGTTGCGACTTTAAAGTCTTTGCGCTGTCTTCACCCCATCACCCTTGTACTTCAAGGTACCTCGAGCCTCTTGCATCTTCAAATGAGTGCAAAGCCCCGATTGACTGAGTCATCCTCACCGACTGCGGGTTCTGCGGCAGCGGTACTAGGGCGTGGTTGAGCCGAAATGGCTACGGACTGAGTTGATGCACCTATTCCAAGAGGGAACCTGTGAAGTACGTGGGCCCAGAGCGAACGTCCCTTTGGGCGCGCCATGGGAAGCTCGCTGCCATGCAAGCTCCTTTGTGCCTAGCTTGAAGCACTGGGTGGGGGTGGGCAGTTAGACGGGTGAACCCGCCCATCTCTCATCAGGCCAGTTTTTCAAGCTCTTTGGAAGCCACAGATTCTGTTTTGCAAGTATCTTATTTATATATGTATATATATACATACACACCCGAAAGATATTCTGTTCACGTGGGGGCCCACAGAATTCCAGCCATGTGCAGAGAAACGTCCGACCGTCCGACGGTCCGAGCGAGGCGACAAGGCCCTCATCATCGCGGCGCCGCCCTCCTTGTGCGTGAAGGCGAGCTTGGTTGGGGCTGGAAGGACGTGGACTCTGAGGACTCTGAGCATTATGATGTTTCATCATTTTCATGTGTTTTCGAATCCCTGGAAGAGAAAGCAACTGGCGCACGTCATCGTCGAGTTTGTTCGGAGGTTTTATGAGTTTATGAAGCTTCTGATTTCAGACGAGACGTTTCGGTGTCGAAAGGTTGTGCCTGCAGGCTCACCCATGGCTTGAGAGCATGCACATCGAAACAGAGGTTTTGGGAGTAGATCCCATGGTGTTCAACGGGCCCCTCTATTCTGCACATCGCCTCCATTGTCCTCCATCGACCAATATCTCGATCCGATCCTATGCAAGAGACAGGGAAAGTGGGGGCCAGCCTGGGCTCTGGGAAGACGGTTGTCCTGTACAAAGGTCACTCAACCACCAATTGCTTTGAGGCCGAAGAGGAAGTGCTACCAGGCGCCGAGACTCTGTGTGACAAGCGCAGATGACTGATGAATGGGCGATGATGGTGACTGAAAGTGACGGTCCGGTGTTGGTCTGGTAGTTGTGCGTGGTTGTACTAAAGCACAGTTTTTCCAACTCCCCTCTCAGCCTCAGATTGATGTGCAACTAGTGTCATGTACAATGGCAGAGAGATATGCTTTTGTCCCCAAACGATGGTGTGACCACGTTCCCCGAGCAAGTGGAAGTGCACCGTTGGTGGATTCTTGTAATAGTTTGTTTGGATGTTTCAGAGAAACGGTCCTGGTCAATCTGCCTGTAGCTATTGTCCATGTGCCTGGAGGCCCGGTGCGCCATAAGGCGCGCCAGAAGGCGCCCCATGCCACCGTGGATCCGGAGCACTTTCTAGGTCCACACGTGAGGCCGAGGGATGGGTGGGAAGTTGGAAGGATCACCTCTACTGCCTAGGCAGTGGAAGGCTGTCCACAGGGTGGCCATCCGAATGAAAGCGGAACATTCTCCGCCAACCGTGCGACAAGGAGGCCATGTGACCATGTGTCCCCCTTTCCACAAAAGGGGCATGCTCGTTCGAGCCAAGAGAACGACAATTGAAGAAAGAGTTCATTAAAGACTTTGGACCCGGAGAATGCACCCTTGTCATGCCATGAGGTTTGTTCGACTTGTCAGATTTTCCATGCCACCCATGACCATGCGCGTCCAGCCAGGCCTTTTGAGGGGCACCACACAGGCCGACCGGCGAGCAGACGACCTAAGCCTAAGCGGCTGGAAGTCGCCGTGTTTCCCCTGGCATGTGGCATCAATGCTTCTGATTACTAGTAGCGATGCCAGGAGCTACTAGTAGCGTAGCTTGCTCCTAGTAGCGATGCCCTTTGCTCCTAGTAGCTTCTTGCTACTAGACTCACAGCGCTCTTCTAACCAGGAATGCCCAATCCTTTTCATGGCAACCTGCGCCAAATCGACTCCCTTCCGTCACTCCCAGACTCCGCGCAGGGCAGCTCTCGGAGCCTGAGGACCCGCTCGTCGCGGCGCTCCGGCACGGCGACCTGGACGGGGTGAAGACCTGCCTGGGCGGCGACGCTTCGCGCGGCGCGAACCGGAGGAGCCGTGGAGCCGGGTGGGAGGGGGCCGGAGCCGTGGTGGGCGCGGGGTTTGGCCTGGTTTGGCCCGGTTTTGGAAGACTGTCCTGTGATTGAAAGGACAGCGTCTCTCTCCCAAAATCCCCGAAAGCATCCGGGAGCCAACTCCCAGTTGGCTGTCAAGGATGATGCTGGTGGTGGAAACTGCGAGAAAATGGCAACCGGGATCACGTAGAGTCACCACTGCAACAAAGGAACTGTGTTATTAGTTACTAATGGAAACCGTAAACAGAATGGAAGGTGCGCATCGTGCGAAAGAGGATCGTACCCCAACCCCAGGCTGACATCAAAAGGCGAACCGGCAAACCGCATTTCTTCACTTTTCTTGGTGGCTAAAATGCACAACGCTCACATACTTAGCCGTGGCGAACAAAAACCAACGGACAGACTCCAGCCCGACACCTTTGGCGATTTTGCGATTGTGAATCAACATACCACCCCTGGCAAAATGGGTAACAACTAGCAGGGAGTCAGCAGGGAGTCTCTTTTTCTTGAGACCCGATGCAACAATCCCAACAGAACCTCAATCCACACCGTTTTCACGAGCCTTCTCGGTCTCGTTTCTCGTCTCCACAGGAGTTCCCGGCAGCAAACCCCACTGATGCTGGCCGCGTCGGCCGCACTGCCCGGCGACGACCACGTGCGGGAACTCTGCGAGCTGCTTCTGGACGCGCAGGCGGAGGCAGATGGGAGTCGGGATGACTGGACCAATTCATGAAACGAGATCATCCTAGCCTAGATCCATACTGTAGGTGATCAAAAAATTAAGCCTTATCTCCATTCTGTTGCCTTTTGAGGTCCCCCAGCTTGCGGGGTCACGAGCCTTCAACTGTCAGGTGGAGGCCATCGACGAGAAGGGCTGGACACCGCTAATGCACGCGTGCAGCAGCAACAATGTCGCTTTGGCCGAAGAAGAGCACCTGCGCTAGGCGGTGTTTGGCCGGGTCGTTTTGCCAACTTGGCCGGTTTGATTTGTAGAGTCATGAGTCATACCATGTGTTTCATGTGTTTTTGCTTCGGATTCATTTAGATTAATCATCATCCTGTTCATCAACTCTATCATCAGGCCAGTTAACAATCGAGAGCCAGGCTGATGGATAATACATGAGCGCTCTTTGTGGTGGTCGTTCTGGCAGGGAGACGCAAAAAGTCACGGAGGAAGCGAAGAAGATGGTCGAAAAGTATGGGTTGTTCATGGTATTAGTATATCGGTAGATCCCATGAATTTCAAACATGGTAGAGATGGTCGATCCCATCGATTTGGTACATCTCATTCTGTTTTTCTGGGTAGATCATATCCATATCATTTCTAACTCAGCAGCCTGCGTGAGTTTCTCTCCGCAGGCTGGAGAGCAATCTGTGAGCTGGAGAGAACCAGCTGTTTCATGGGCCCAGCTGTTTCATTGCTCTTCAGCTGTTTCATTAGGCCCTGAGCCACCCTTTTGACCAAAGTCACAAGCCCAAGTTTGTAAATATGGGTTGATCATGGACACATATTGTAATAAGGTCAATCTCCTTTACAATCGCGGCTCTGCCATGTCGTCCTGAGGTCAGCACGGTGGAGTTGTTGTTGGAACGGGGCGCTTCCATTCACCGTGGCTGGGTGGAGACCCGCGTTCCGGGCGTGTTCTTTGGGCATTTGATGGTGGGTAGTGGCTGAACAAATATCTGAAGCACCAACATTTCAAAAAACACCGGCCACGACATTTGTGTTCATTGACTGAATCTGAAAGAGCTTCTGTTGAAGATGCTTAGGGGAGGTTCAGTGGTTCAGATGTTGAAGGCACATGTGGTAGGCCATCACCTATGACGTTTGGAAGAGCGCGCCTCCCTGGCGTTCACGCTCATGGCGTTTGCGGCGTTGCCTCCCCCGCTTCGGCGGTGACCGGTGATCTAAGCGCTGGAAGCACACTGTGACTGGACTTGAGGCTGTGACTACGAGGGGAGGAGCTGTTTGATGTTGGCCTTCATCGGCAGCGAGGACTTGAAGCTCCTCAAGTGTCTTGGAAAGAGTGAACCGCCCGAGCTTGCGGGGTCCGGAGCTTGTTTGGATTCGTTGGGGGGTCGTTGGTGAAGAGGAATGACTCTCGTGACTTCTTCAGGTTCCAACATCATCCGCGGCTAAACCGAGTCGGGGCGGCTCGAGTCGGGACCCACGGACCTCGCGTGGGCGCGAGGTTTACGGCGGGTTCGCCCGCGGTGAGGTCTTTGGTGGAGCTGAAGGCCTCGGTGGAGTCGCGGGATGCGAAGGGCTGGTCTTTGCTCTTCTACGCCTGTGACCCGTTGTGAAGGGCACGTGGCGACGGGTCGACGGGTGGGGGACTGGCGACGGCACGCACGAGAAAGGCTTGGCTTGTTTGGGGTGTTCGGGACGGTGTTGGCCTAGTTTGGACTCAGGTCCACATCGAGGCTTCCGCCTTGATGCTTCAGTTTGGAGCCATCAAGAGACCACGTTGAGTGTCACACTGGTGTTCGGAACATTCATTTGGTGCCGAAGTTCAAAGCCGAAATGCAGGGAATAGAGGACGCTACTAGGAGCAAAGGGCATCGCTACTAGGAGCAAGGCTAGGGGCTCCTGGCCTTACTACTAGGAACAAGACCGTAGATCAGAGACCTACGTCGCTTGCAAGCTGCCTTTCTTCGCCGGGAGCTCAAGGCGAACAGCAAAACCTACACGTGATCAGGCGCACGGCGCGCGCCGGCGCGGACCGCGGCGTTTGTCCGCTCCGCGGATGCCCGAGCCGCGGAGCTGGCTACCTGCCAACGGATCTTCCCCTGGGACAAGAGCTGAAGGGAAGGATGCCCGAGCGCGCACCCGTTCGTTCTTCTTTTTTTTTGTTTTTAAATCAGTTGAAGATCTCTTGGAACGAGTTGGTTGATGAACATGTTTGACAAAGTCAAGACATATTTTTCTCGCACGCAAGAAACTTTTTCAGCGCTTTGCTTGCCTCCAAAGCCAGCACGAAAGTCACGAAAGTCTCAGTAAGAAGTATATAGTTTATTCAATGAAATTCAATGAAATATATCTATATTATAAAGTTTGTTGTACTTTCATGACTGTAATACCAAGGTGTTGTTGGTTTTGACTTCTTGGCTCGTAGACGCCCAGGGTCATGCGCGTTCCTCCCCACAGAGAGAGAGAGAGAGAGAGCGTGGAGTCGGCACTCCAGCCCGGCGTGACAGCATTCACAAGCTCTCTGTTGGAGGAGGCAGAGATGGTCGATGCCACCCGAAGCTTTGGGGGCTGCTTGGACAGCGAGTCTCGACTCCAGGCATTGAAGGCTGTGAGCCCGGTGCCCTTGGTGGAGCATGACCTGGCCGGACAGGTCATCATTTCTGTGAGTCCAGCTGGGCTGTCAAGCGCCAGGCTGTTCCTTTTCTGCAGGCTTTAGGTAGAGATGGCAGCCTGGGTGACACAAACACCCTTAAGCTACAGCGCCTTTTGTATCATCCCCACCCCTTGGTGCAGCTACTCTCGGCGACGATTTTAGAGCACGTGCCACTGGTCTGTGCTCGCTGGAAGCAGATCATCAGTGATCGTAACCTGGCGAAATTGGCGTTGCAGCATTCGGGCTTGGCCTTGGAATTCTTGGGGTCGGAGTTTCAAGGGGACCGAGAGATTGTCTTCGCAGCGGTGTCGCAAACAGGTGAGGCCTTGCAGTTCGCACCACGTCTGTGTGGCGATGAGGAGATAGTCTTAGCGGCCGTGATGAACACGGGCTCTGCTGTGCAATTCGTCGACAAACAGTTGGTGGAGAAGTACCCAGAGCTTCAATTGTTAAAAGACAAAAACGGTCTAGGCCTGTGGGGCAACTATGTGGTCTTGGAGGAGATTGGCAAGGGTGTGTATGGCTCAGTGTGGCGCGCAGTGGGATGCAGCTCCCAGCAAATGTTCGCGATCAAGAAGATGCACACAGACCAGGTGTGGCAGGAAAACGAAATACATAGCACGCAAAGAGAGATCTCCTTTTTGCAGTCGCTCAAGCATCAAAATATCGTCCAGCTCAAGGACGTCTTGACCCTGGGGTTTCAAGACGTCCGGCCGGTCTTTGAGTTGCTTAAATGTGATTTGGGAGAGGTGTTGAAGGATTTGAAGAGGAATGGGCAGATGATGTGCATGGAGGATTTGCGACGGTATAGCTCGGACCGTCTGGAGGGCCTGTACGCATGTCATGCCAGGAGTGTCATGCATCGGGATTTGAAGGCTCAGAACCTCCTCCTGACCCACGAGGGTTCCCTGAAGATCGCAGGCTTTCGCCTTGCTCGGGAGATGGTCGTGCCCAACCCCAGCCACAGCACGGATGTGGTTACCTTGTGGTACAGGGCGCCAGAGATGTTTTTGGGAGCCCAGAACTACGGCTGTGAGATAGACTGCTGGTCAGCCGGCTGTGTGATGGCTGAGATGGCCACCAACCGCCCGCTCTTCCCGGGTGATTGCGAGGTGGATACCCTCTTCAAGATCTTTCGTCTACTTGGCTCTCCAAGCGACACCCACTGGCCGGGGGGAATGGCCCTCCGCCATTGGAGAGGGAGGTATCCGAAGTGGCAGGACACTGGCCTGAAGCCACTTTTTGATCGTCGGCCAGAGCTTCAAGGAGAGTGGCGACCTTCTCCGGCAGCTCTTGTGCTTGTGCCCTGACCAACGCATGACCGCACTGAGCGCCAAGCAGCATCCCTTTGTGGCTGGACACCCTGAGCTACACAGCACCGCAGACGCCCGCGGACAATGTGCCGCGGCCGGTGAGCTCTCCACGCCGGGGTGAGGAGTATGAAGTACCAGCAAGTCATGGTGTTCCAACCAACAACGGTTGTAGCTTACTTCAACTGCTAAAAACTCGCCATCACTTTCTCAAAGTCCTGTTTCATAGGTCGAAGTACCATCCAGGCGGAGAAACTCAGCCGCTCGTTCCGCACTTTTGTTTAGAGACTGAAGTGAGTTAGACCCGACACACTCGGCTCAAGATGACTCGCTGGGTGGAATCTCAGGTCTTCATTTGGCCGTGGGTGGCACCAGACTACCTGGCTTGACCACCAAAAATGAGCAGAACTGACTATCAAGGTCAACCTGCCCTGCTTTCTCGGGGATTTGCCAGCCCAAAAACGACCCACAGGCCGATCAAAGGGTCACTGGCGCCTTACATGACCGGCTCAGACCGTGTTTGATCGTCAAAACGGTGATGCACCGGTGTATCTTACGAGTCTTTTTTTGGTCACACTATTCTCAAATGGAGCCATGACCGGCCATGACCCTTCTCTAAGAGGGCTTCAGCTGAAACGTGACGTTTTGAGAAGGAATTGTTGTTCCCCTTTTCAACCGTTTCAAGGGCCCTGTCTGGAGTTTGTCAGTCGTTGCAGGATCCATGTCCGTTGACCTATACATAGAAGACAGATAAGGTGTTGCAAGCTTTTGAGTGCTTCATCAAGTAGTGAACATGTGGATGGGTGACCTCTGCAGCGAGTAGACAAAAAAGACAGAAGTGAATATACCCTACAGGTCCAAAGACCCGGTGAAAACCCTACAGGTCCAAAGACCGAGTCATGGACGAGGCCAGCTTGGGACTGATCCATTTCGGTGGACCTGTAGGATACTATACGTACTGAATACAGTCAGTAGTGGATATTCTCAAGGATCCACTGGGCAAGATGCCAAATCTGCATGGACACCTAGGTCAGGGGTTGGACGATTTGCTTGTTTGGAACTGTGGCTCTCACTTTGACTTTACAACACCGAAGGCCCAATCCTATGCTTCCCGGGACTCTTACCTGAGAAGCATCAAACTTGGATCTGAAAGATCAATCGTCTAACCCCTTCGACTTGGGTGCAGTTTACATTCTGCCGGTGCCGATGCTGCGGACTGTTTGGCCGTTGGCCTTGAAATAATCAGATTTCGACGTGGCAGAGCAAAATCGGCAAGGCAGCCCGCATCCAGTGTGGATTAGATTAGAACAAGGGGAAAATCATGGAAAAAGACCAAAGACCCCCGTGGGCAAAAGACCAAAACCCAGTTGGAGGGGTCTCCCTATCCCTATTCCAACAACGCACTCCAACAAGCGGCGGCGCTACAAGTGGCTGCAGCTTCTGTTACCTGTGTTTTGGCAGGTGGCTTTGCAACAAGTTCCAGGCCGACCTGGAGACAAGGGCCTTGGATGGGTTGACTCCTGCGGACATCTTGAAAAGGCAAGGGCCGCTCGGACCAGTGGAAGCCGGCAGAACTGCCAAAGCCGGCAGACGAAGATGGGCCACTTTGTCGGTGGAAGATGGGCCACTTTGATGTGGATGCCCTGAAATTCAATGGACTTGCCAAGGGAAAACTCACTTTCGGTCCATATCTTGTCAACCCATCTGACCCATCTCTTCAGAAAAAAGAGAGGAGACGGTTTTGGATTCTTTTGTTCTTTCGTATACGGGTTTGGGAGTTATGCCCGGCGACGTTCACAGAAAGCGAATCATTTGCTTCGAGGAAGGCTTCCGTTTGGTTCCGTGGGAGCATCATGTGTGGTTTTGGCTGTAGCTCAAGAAGTTCTGCTTTTGGCTGTAGCTCTACACGGACTCCTTCCCACCTACGGAATCCCCTTCCATTTGGTTCGATTCCGTCGCCGATTCCGGCCGATCCGATCGAAGCGACCGACGCGGCGGGTTGCCGAGGTTGGGCCAAGCGCATCGCTGGCTGGGTGCAAGAAGGCGGGGAGGACCTTTTGGGACGTTTTGGAGCCAGGTTTTGGAGCCATGTGTGTAGGGGTCACACATGAATGACGAACATGCCTTTCACTTGTACTCCTTCCACTTACTGTAGTGAGTTGGGACTCGTGAAATGACTGTGCAATTTTTGAAGTTCCATCTCAATGTGTTTCCAAGTGTGTCCACAACTCCCATCTCATCATGCATCTACCATCAAAATCAAGATCATACGAGGGTAGCTTTGCTTATATATCTCTTTGAATTGGTATATTCCAAATTGGGACACTCAAACTTCACGATTAATTATATTTTAATAAACATTATACATAACTATATTAATATATATTATATATATTTCGTTTGTTTTTCACATATGAAACTCGTTCGAAAGCATTATTACACGGTTGTTTAAAAAGAATAACGTAGAATCATCCTAACTCATCTGGGGGTAGTATAGATAAATTCAATCAGTGATTGGACACCATTTCTACTGGATTTTGTTGGGGGACCCTTTGGGCAGTGGTTTCAAATTAGATGGCACAAGCATGCACAAGCGATGTTGACGAGGATTGCATTCCATTGCTAGAAATCACCTCTTGAGGCCTTGCGAGTTCGGCAAAATAGTCCTGAAAACTGTGTATTCACTCCCAGCAGAACTCATGGACCCGATCACAGGTTGGTCACTGCGCCTTCGTGGAGGAACATGTGTGCCTTCATCGTTCCAATTCACGGGTCGAACATGTGTCCCTTCAGCCGGGCCGGGTGGGTTGTCTTTTGTGAAGGCCTTCAGGTGCACACGTGACGCCCTTTCCTCAAAATTCCATGTCCGGCTTGAAGGGGTCCCTGAGGAATCCGTTCAAGCGGCGCTTCAAGCGGCTCGGTGCGGGGGGTCAAAAGGCAGTTTCCAAACCCATCAAAGGAGCAAGATGCAATGACAGGGCGGGTAGGTGGACAGCTCCACTAGGGCCTAGGGCCTGTTTTCCTTGGGTTCGATCGGTCGCCCTGGTTCTGGAGTGAGGGCAGAACCCTTTCGCCTTGATTGCAAAAATGATTGAAACTCTCAGCAAAAAGGGTAGTTCCTCCTCGCGCAGCTTGTAACCCTGCAGGCGTCCAGAGATGGAGTATTTGCTCATTGATTTGGGTTTGATGAACGAAGATGGACACCCCCTCCCGCTCGAGTCCGAGCCAAACGTGTCCGGGCGCCGAGTCATGTAAGGCCACCGGAGCAGTGGGGAGCAGCCTCCTGGAGGTCGAACATGACCATCATTGCCCAGACGGAAAACACCTCCGGAAAAAATGGCGAGCCACAAGCTTCCATGAGCATCCTCGTTAGAACTTTAGAGCACCTCTGGAGTTTCTCAATCGCTCTCCAGACATGTCAAGGAGGCCCGGGAGGCCCGGGATGGAGGTCGAGTCGTACCAGACCAAGTGATAACGCCTAACCCCGACCACCTGCACCCAGGGGAAGCCGACGGCGCTCCTCAAAGAGTCAGAAAGGTGGGAACCTCAGTCCTCATCCGGAGTAATTTTAAACTAACTAATAGCTTCTTGTTACTACTAGTAAGGCACTTGTTACTACTAGCGTGGCACTTGTTATTAATAGCTTCTTGTTACTAAACTAGAAGGTTCGGAAGTTCGGACGATCCACCTTTTTTGGGTTTTGCGGAAAAAGGCCGGACCGAATCTGCATTGGTCCAGGGGGGTTGATGGGGTGCCGTACTCCATGAACCCTAGGTTCCTTGAACCAGAGACGTTGTCCATTGCTCATGTAGATGGAGTTCTTCTTTTGTTTAACATAATCAATAGGGTTAACTTCATTATGGTGCAAGACGACTAGACAATATATCGGATTCATGGTGAATTTTGCGGAAGTCTTGGGGGTTCTTTGTTACAAACTCTTAGGGACGTTTGGAGGAGTGGCTTGGAATTAGCTATCTACTGACTTACATCTAGTCATCTATCCATATTTGTCGGATCTTACTACTAGTACGGAACGGATTGGTGGGTGGAACTGCTGGGCTTCGGGTTCGCCTATAGCGAGCCCACCATAGGCGAGAGCGGCGAGAGCCGCAGATCCTCCAAGGCGAGGGGGTTACACAGGGAGCTCTTGTTCCGATGATGTGCAAAGAAACTCTGAAACATCCGTTCTCAAAAAAGGACTGAATCGCCCCCTACCATCCTTCGAATGATTCGGATTTTTCCCTTCTGATCTATTTTGGTATCTTACGAAGCAGGGCAACCTTGATTTGGGTAGGACACGTGGACGTTTCCTGTTGATTTTCGCGTAGAACAGCTGTAGGACACAAGGCTTCAGCCTGAAAGGGGACCTCCGACAACGTCAAACTAAGTAAGAAAGAAACATCGTCGTCCTAAAGGTGACGCCTGCCCTTTTCCGGGTCAAAAGCGGCTGCAAGCCAGTTGAGAAGGAATTGAATCATCGCTTTAAACCTAGCCGGAGTTTTTGGCTGGAACAGAGCGCATCTATGCAGTTGATCACATCAAAACCATCAAATCATCGTGCCAACCGCAGACCCCAAGCCAACGCAGCCAGGTCTCTGTCGGGAGCGACCCAAGACACGGTTTGAGCCCCAGGACCGAACGACCATCGGAGCGGAGAGGAACCGGGGGTGCCGGTGCGGGTAGCACGGAACGGCCGCTGGTGACCTGGGATGGATGGACAAGATCCATGGTCATATGTCACCATGGACTCATGGAGCTTTGGTTCCTTTCTGCCAGGGGTGACAGGTAAAGGCACAGCTGCAGATCTGGCTTCATCCCTTTGACCTGGGGGCGGGGATGAACCTGACAGGTGAGAGCCGAAGATCTTCGAAAGCCAGGATCCCAGATGTTATCTCGTCGAAGCCAAGGCGCCAGGGCGTTTCGGAGACTGATATCCAACTGCTCCAAGGCCTGAATTTTTGAAGACACATGCATGTGAGTGCTGGACATCTATGGTTGTAGCATGTTGGGACGCACCCTAGTGGGAGGGTCGTGGTGTCATGGAGTCATGGAGTCGCCCCGACGTCAGGTCTCCATTGGGAGCGACCCAAAACATCACGGTTTGAGGGCCCAGAGCGCGGTCGCGCGCCATTGGCCCCGACAGTGCGACGCAATTTCGCCCAAGTCCTCACTGGGCTGTGCCTAACTTGGGGTGACGTTCCTATGGAGAGAGCAACCAGGGCTCCTCGGCCCAACAGCTGTCGGCACTTGCGGAGCCGAACTGGAAGGAGACGAACGGAGCAAACCGTCCTTTTGGGGTGTCACGGTACCCGGCACTCGTGGTGTCGGGTCTGTGTGCGATGGTCGGAATATGCTGTTCGCTTCGCAAGAGGAGGTGCGCGCACGCGCGGGCGCGACGCGCGCACGTGAACGTGCTGTGCGTTTTCCATGTCTTTTTTGGGGGGGCGCCTTATGACAGCAGAGAGCTTGTGGCATTCCTGTGTTTTACCGATATTTCACTGAAGTGAAGTGAGAAGTCGTACATCCTTTCATTGTACATCGCGTTCGCGAGGTCAGCACCGAAGAATGTCCAAGGCCTTGGGAGTGCGCTACCAGGTTTGACCAGGTGGTCATGTGGGGATTTCTTTTTTTCCTCTTCCCACAACAACAGGTGCGACTCTCTTGAATCGTCCGTTGATCTTCTGAATAAGGACTGCTTAAGTTGCTTTCTTTTTTGGGGTGATCGACCTGTCTGACACAAGAAGCCAAAAAACGGGTCTGGTTTCAAGATGTGATGGGTACTTTGGAGTACATTCCCTCTACTGAGGGATAAACTAACCAACATTTGCAGTTCTTCTGGGTCTTAGGATGTCTTATATTATATAGGTACTTTGAGCCACAGTGGCCTTGGCCTCCGAAAATTTCTCGGGATGCCGCAGGCAGAGTTCTTATCTCACGTGACCAAGGATGCAAAGGGTGAAATCCTCCAACGTCATCATGTTGCCAGGACCATCAGAGCACATCAGACCACAGGGTTTTCATCCCACCCGCTTTACAACGAGGGTTGCCCCGCGCTGCGCGCTGCGCTCCTCTCCTCAAGGGCTCCGATGCGAGCCATCTCTCCTCGCGGCGCTCCAGCAAAGGTGGGGTGACAGACTGTCTCAGAGATCCTGTTTCAATGAAAAGATATTCCACGCAAGGGGACCTTCATCATGTTTTTCATGTGGGGACTTCACGCCTGGGGATGGGCCACTCCCCTTGAGTCGGAGCAGTGGGAGGAGCAGTGTGGATTGACTGTTTTGTCGTGCGTTTGGGGTGAACAGCCCTCCTGTCCAAGAATACCACGTTCTGTGCGCCATGGCTTTTTCAAGTTGGGTGGAAGTATCAGAAGTGCTTGACAGACCTGATCAAAGGTTATCCGTAGTGGTGTCATTTATTTCCAGGTGTGCCATGCGTGGTGGAGTGGTTTTTTGATTCGATGCGTCGGTTTCATTCAAGAACTCATCCGTTTTCAGTGACTTTGTGGTGCACCGTTTTCCAGGAGCCTTCGCACCCGAACACCTCGAGGAGACGGACTGCACCGCCGTGGCCCTGCGGCCCAGCGGCCAGGAGGGTGCCCGCACAACTTGGAACATCCGCAGGGAGCGTGGCAGCTGTGTCCCTGGCCATGCCAATGAAGCTATGGGATTCAGCCGCAAGGTTTTATGTGGATGCACATTCCTGTATCTGCTCTTTTTGCAAGCTGTGACTCTACCCTTCGTGTAAAATGCTAACGCGTTTTGATCGTTTTTGAAAAAACAATGTTATGCCCATTGATCGCCATATCGTTGATCCAGCCAAGGTCTAACTGCATTAAAGGTCTATGCAGCAACGTGGAAACTCACCGACTCACCAACTGACGTTTTGCTTTTGCGAGCCATCTATCTAAGTGTTGCACTTTCAGTGACAGGTGTCGACCCGAAACCTCCAATCAAACCTGCCCCACAAGTGTGGAGACAGAACCACCTATTCCTGAAAGATGCCCCTGACACCACTACTTTTTAGGCGAGGGTTCCAACAGGAACTCAGACTCTTTGAGCAGAGTATATGGAGATGTTTCACAGATCTCCAGGCCCAAGGGGTTTCTTAAGCAGCAGTCCGACGATGTTTTCCGCCCGAGGTCACGGTGCATGTGGCGGCAGATGGTCGGCAGACTCGGGACGTGTTGGGGCACCGAGCGGTGGGAGGCTTCCTTACGGCAGAAACGTATGCAGCTTTTGGGAGACAGCACTGATACACATTCACGCGCTGTGAATTTAGTGGTTCCAAGGTAGAGACTCCTGGCAAACCGGCAGTCAGAAAATCAGGTGTTGCAACTTCTGCCCCTGATTCCCCTGTCCCTGCATGCATTTGTTTGGCGTGGCGTCTTTGAACTTGGGAGGTTCATCCCAGAGCCCGCAAAGCCCAATGTGGCAGGGCTTCATGATGAAGAGGAGGGGTGGATCAAAAGACTTGTGCGATCCGTTTTGGTTTGGTCAAAAACCCTTCAGTGGTTTGTTAGAAAAGAGGGGTACTGCTAACTCAGAGGTGTGGATTTGGAGATTGGGAGCTACTCTGGCTGCGTTAGGATCTTGAGACCTATAAGGGGAGGTGAGTTTGCTCTGTTTGAGCCAAATCAACTGACTGGGCATGGCCATGGCCGGGGAAAGAAGAATCTCGTGGGCAGAAAGATCTACCTCATGGAGCAGAATGACTTGAGATGAAGAGTGCTAGCTTGAAAATTGGTAACGGTTTGCTGTCTAATATGTTGTTTTTGTGGAGATTGACAGAGGGTGGTGCGCTGTGGTGTGTTGTGTGCATGTTGCTGCAATCCGCAGCTTGATCAAGCCGCTTGCAGGCAAAAGCTTTGCGTTCGGCGGCGCCGTTTCTTTCGTTGAGCCCAATTCACTCCGCATTGGTAGCGGAGCCCTCGAAAGAGAGGGCGGCCCTGACACCTGGGCCTTGGGACCGGATGGCTGACTCGTCGGCCGAAGCCATCCCGGTGCCCACATGGGACGGGGCGGAGTCCCCTGGTGGTGGCACCACCGAACCGCCCGAGGTGGCGGACCGAGGCCGAGCCTCGGCACCTGGCCGCGCCAGGGATCGTGGCAGAGCCACGCATGAAGACGAGGAGCGAGGACGATCTCGCCAGCGTGGAAGAGGTCGCGGTCGAGGACGAGCCAACCCCCACGCTCACGATGACGTGACCAAGGGCAAGGGCAAGACCCACAAAGGAGGCAAGGCAGAAGCGAGCTCAGGCAAAGGTCACACGACCTACACGGCGGACCAGACCTTTCGTGCAGGATGGTCCCAACAAGTGCCAGGCTGGTATAGATCACCAACGACAGGCATCTGAATGTTCTGGACTGGGTTTCAATGGCTGTCGTATGAGCCTTCGACATCCATGGATGGTTCCTGGTATCTTCCTCGCCAGGAAGGTGATCAGACTACAAGCCAGCCCACAGGAGCTCATGCAGCGCCTCCATCACCTCGAGCATCGACGCTGGAACACCCCGATGGAGCAGCTCGAACGGTGAAGAAGGACAAGAAGACGAAGTCTGAGCGCTCTCCTCCAGTGGCGAGGAATCCCAAGGAGCGGAAAGAGAAGTCTGCTGACAAGGCGAAGGATAAGAAGGACGTCAAGGACAAGAAGGACGTCAAGGACAAGAAGGACGCCAAGGACAAGAAGGATGACAAGGTCAAAAAGGACCGATCAGCAGACAAAGAAAAGAAGGAGCGCAAGGACAGCAAGGACCAGAAGGCGTCCAAGGAGGCGAGAACCAAGTCATCGCCGGGACGCGGTGAGAAGAAAGAGAAGAAGGAAAAGAAAGAGAGAGATGAGGAAGCCAGGCCGAGTGGCAAGGAGAAGGATGAGATCCCAAAGCCCGCGGCCAAGAAGTCAAAGCCTGCTCCACCAGGTCCGGACCCGCCGGACGGAGACAACGATGACGATGACGACGATGGTGGAGATGGCGGAGATGATGGCTATGAGTACTTCTCAGAGTACTCGTATGAAGAAGATGAAGAGAGTGAGGAAGAGGAGCAGTTTGAGGCTGATCCTCCGGTGGAGCCTTCCATCTACACGGACGACAGCAGGGGGCCCCGCCAATACCGGAGGAATCCAAGAGATCCGCGGCAGCGACCGCCAGATCCTCCCTCCTCAGGTCCGTCAGGTCCTTCATCAGGCAGAGCCTCATCCAATCGGACCTCGACCAACCGGACTTCCTCTCCAGCGAGCTCCAACAGGACCAGCTCGAACGCCTCGACTGCAGGCACAAGTGAACTGCGGGCATTGCTGACGCAACAGGCCCGAAAGCAGCAAGACAGATCCAAGCCATCCTTGAGTCAGGTCAGGCTGGAGATGTTCAAGGGCTCCAGGACACACTACAAGGAATGGAAGCGCACGATTGAAGCACAACAGGCGCTCTACAGGTTGGACGATGCCGAATTGGCCATGCTCATCTACCTCAGTTGCCAGGGTGAGCCGCGCCAGATCTTGAATCAACTTCAGATCGAAGAGATGCGCGAGCCTGGAGGCTTGAACCGAGTCCTTCGATTGCTGGAAGAATCGTATGGCGCAAGAGCTGATGAACGCTTCGAAGAGAAGCAAGAGGCGTATTTGACTTATCGCCGAACACCTGGTCAGGCCATCGCCTCCTACATCAGCACCCTGAAGAGGTTGAGGGCCGAATATCTGGCCGAAGACACGGGCACGACGCTCTCCGACAAGTCGTTCGCCCAGAGGATGCTCAGCCGGGCATCGCTCACGAAGAAAGAGAGGATGGACATCTTCTACAGTGCCGGAGGCAAGTATGTCTCCACGGCCATCGAGAAGGTGCTTCGCTTCAGGTGTGCCAACATCCATGCGGAGGAAGGCAAGTACAAGGCTCATGACAAGCAGCCCCGCAAATGGAAGCACCCCTCGACGTCAAGGTCTTCCCGCTATCATCAGCATCGATCATCCCGTGCACACCTGGCTGAAGTGAAGGAAGAGCCAGACTGGGATGATGATGAAGAGGGCATTCCAGAAGAAGACGAAGCCGACGAGGCTTTGTATGAAGATGATGATTGGGAGGAAGCAGACGATGAGGACCTGGAGCAAGAAGCCTGGAACCAAGGCTACTACTCCTACTGGGAGTGGGACGACGAAGGAGGCTGGGAAGATGATGACATGGATCTTCGTGAAGCCTATGCAGCAGGCTGGCGAGCAAAGCAGAAGTCAGCGGAAGCTCGCAAGGCAAGGGGCTACAGCGACGGCAAGTCCAAGGGCAAAGGAAAGAAGGGCGGTCGCTTTGTGGAGTACCGCTCGAAGGACCAGAGGAAAGCCAAATCCAAGTGCGCTTCTTGCAAGCAGATTGGACATTGGCACGGCGATCCGGAGTGCCCCAACGTGAAGAACGGAACGGATCAGCCGAGGGAAGAAACTCCCAAGAGCTCCACCCAGGTCCACTTTGCCACAGACAGTTCGCCCCAGGCCAGAGGAAGCAACCAGGTCAAAGAAGAGCCAGGTTCGCAAGACAAGAGCACAAAGGGCCTCCAGGTCCACAAGGTCAATTGGACCTTCATGGAAGGCTGGCAGCGAATCAAGGCTTACAGCTCTGACTCCAGCTCAGTGATCTCCTCAAGCAGCAGCAGTTCAGAAGAGGAACCTCTGGCTTTCACGGCTGGCAAATCCCCTGAACAGGCCAAGGAGAAAGCCTCGAAGTACAAGGCTGCGTTGAGGACAGTGCTGGCTGCCTTGGAGAAAGAGGCAGATGAAGATGATCACAAGCTGAAGCGAAGACTGGAGAAGAAGAAAGAAAAGGTGAAAGAAAAGGAGAAGGAGCTGAAGGCTGTTGCAGCCAAGAGCAAGGCCCGACCTATGGAGACGGACCTTCCGGCCGCAGAGATGCTGGAAATCCTGCCCTACATGTCCAAAGAAGAGAAGAAGCAGCTTTACAAGAAGCTCAAAGAGGAGAGGGACATGGAGGCATCCAAGCAGTTGTTCAAGAAGGGCACACCTGAGAGGGTGACACGCCCAGACAAGAAGAAGGAGGGCTACACTGCTGCCAGCTCATCGACGACGCCAGCTCCGGAACCGGCGTCAGTGAGCACTCTGCCGGAGCCAGTGAGGAAGAAAAGGTTGAAGGAGTTCAGACGAGCTCTCTATGAAGGAGCTCTTGATCGGAAGGGACGAGTCAAGCCTTCCGAGGCCTCGGAGTTGCCGACGCCTGAACAAGATCGCTGTCGCCACCCATTCGAGAGGTTGAGATGGGGGGCCAATGGTGCAGCTCACTGGGCATCATGCAGGGATTGCCACTTGAAGAAAGTGCTCTACTACAGCATGGACCACGGAGCATTGACAGCCGACAATGAGCTGGAAGATCCAATGGAGACTTGGATGGTGGAGCATGCAGCTCACAAGGTCATCTTGGACAGTGGCTGTCGTACGGCTGTTGCAGGAGCACGGTGGCACAAGAAGATGCAGCAGTCCCTTGATGAGATGCAGTTGCCCTACGAAGTGCTGGAGCATGAAGAGACCTTCAGGTTTGGTGCGGGAGCTCCAGTACTTTCCACATCGGCGGGTTTGTACCCCGTTGTCCTCGGCAAGAGTGGCATCCGTACTTGGCTTCGTGTGGCGGTGGTGGAAGACACCAAGGATGATCCAAGGATCTCCCACTGTCCCGCTTTGGTGGGACCGTCTGAGTTGGCTCGATGGAAGGTGACCATGGACTTTGGCTCTGGCACCACGGTCATTGACGGCCGCCAGATCCCGACAGAGCTGTCACCTACTCGACATCCTGTTTTGGATGTCCTTGGATCCGGCAGCGCCGATGACTGGAACACTCCCGAGCTGAGAGAACTCAGGCAGGTGCTTCGAGAGGAGCCACACAGCCTTGCACTCTGGCAGAGCCAGGATGAGCAGTCACCTTCGGCGCACGACGCCAACAGTTCGTCGGAGGAGTCGGATGCATCTTTTCATTCCCTGGCAGAGCCAGAGTCTGAACTGGAAGATTTGGCACTATGGCAGAGCCACATGGAGGACGAGGCCATTGCTGGTCTTGACCAAGTTTTGCACAAGGTCCCACTGAGGACTTGTGAGCAGCAGTCCGACTCCGAATCGGACAGCCATGGATCTTTTTCGTCAGGGCAGTCAGAATCCTCCCATGAGGATGGACCCTCAGAGAAGTCGGACACTTCGGATTCAGAGGAGGGGGATTCGGACATCCAGGATGAGCACTATGAGGATGCCTTGACGACAGGTATCACAGAGGAAGGCAGTGAGATCCTCACCAAGGGACAACGACGTCGCCTTTTGAATGCAGCCCAGCAGATCGCAGATGCCGCTGCCCTAGAGGTCTCCAGCAAAGCAGCACGATTGACCAAGACACCCAAGGCACCGCCTCGCACCCGTTGGCGGATTTTGGAGCTTTTCACTTGGTCGTGCGTGCTGTCCATCACAGCGACGGAGCGA